GTCTGCTGCTAGCTAGAGGAGTAGCCAGGCTTCCTTCCCTCTTGGCTGTAGGGGCCAAATGCCTGTGAACCAATTTGCAAAGAACAACTTCTCTAAAGACTGTTGCCATTCTGGAACATGGTACCGTGGGGCTGTCTTCTACAGCAAAGTCTATCACTTTTGTAACTTTGAGGCTAGAGGCCTGCAAAGGTTAGAGTCCTGTTGGTTCTTGTGATGTTCTCAGGCTTCCTTTTCTATTGTCTTCTTCTGAAACATGTAGCTTTTTCTTGCTAGTCTTTTCATTAACCAGTTTCTCCTCTGTTTCCTCTTTGCAGGCTGCAACTTAGCTGGAGCTTCCTTTCTGGCCAAACTCCCAATGTTTTGATCATTGTGCTAGTCTCTTCTCTTGATTCTCTACATCAATCTGACTAAAAATTCCCAACAATAGCCATGCCACTACCTCAGTGTTAGACTGTCTTGAATTTTCTCTGCAAGATTAATTAGTCTACTGCCCTTAATCTCAAGAAAAATCTCTGGACACAAGCAAAATGCAGACAAACTATCTGCCAAGACATAACACACATTACTTGAAGTCTAACACAGTACAGTCGTCCTCCTCAGCAGAAACCTGGAGCCTGGTCTTTACTGGCAGCATTTCTTGCAGCCCTCTAGTCTTCTGAGCTCTGACCAGAATCTCTCATGCAGTACAGCCTACGGGATTCCAGCTATGCTTTTCAACCAGCTTTCTCAACCTTTCCTAACTCTTCCCTTTCCCCCAAATCAGTTTCAAAGGCTCCTAAACCATATGGTCAGATAATGTCACAGCAACAACCTCACTTCTGTCATCAGCACATTCTGTCCTAGTTACTATTCTTTCATTGCTGAGACTCAGCATCTAAAGTAAAAGGAGGATGGGTTTATTTGATTCACCGTTTGTAGAAGTTTTAGTCCATAGTCATCTGGTTCCAAGGCAAGCTGGCATGGCAGAGGGGCAACCCAGAGAAGAAACAGTTCATGGTGGGCAGAGGGTAGCAGAACAAGCAAGGCATCTTAGCAGCTTCTTTTTGCTACTTTTATGTTCTGTCTAGTCTCCTGGGATTAGGGTGGTACACGCTGTGGATTGATTTAGTAATCACATACCCTTAATTCCTGCATCACACATTCTAGATTCAGCCACCTCTGAAAAAGCCCTATCACTGTATGAGGCTTTAGGGGATGTTTAGACGTAAAGCATAACAAAGAAATTTACAGAAATGGTCCAGTTTAATTAAAAGAGGACAATTCAGGCAGGAAATACCCATTCAAAGACCTCCAATTTTGAAGGTGCAGGAAGAATTGCTGGCACGTAAAGGTTGAATCCTAGAAGAGGAAGTTTCTTTGTGAAGGTGATAAATCATTTCATGAAGAGCCTTCTGATATATAAAAAAAGTTAGATTTTATCTTACATATAGTAGAAAACCATTTGTTTAACCATTAAAACTACCATTTTTCCGGGGCTGGGGATTTAGCTCAGCGGCATAAGCACCTGCCTTGCAAGCAGGCGGTCGTGAGTTCGATCCCTGGTACCGATAAAAATGAAAAAGACAAAAAAAAAAAAAAAAAAAACTACCATTTTTCCAATCATACTGTGTGCCAAGTACTTACTATCTCAATAGGGAGTTGGTATAATTCTGTTTTATACCTGGGGAACAGGCTCAGAGAAATAGATACTTTCTGCTTAACCTTGCAGTAGCTCTAACTACCATTATAGTCTTCCTCATTGTAGTGACTATTGAAATATTGAGATGAATGGTGGTAATAGTTGCACAACAGTGAAAATATACTTAATACCACTGAAATGCATACTTAAAATGGTTAAAATAGTAAATCTTATGCATGTTCATTTAACCACAATTTAAGAAACTATGTGGCTAGGCATGGTGGCATACACCTGTAATCCTAGCACTTGGGAGGCTGAGGCAGGATTATCCTTAAGAGTTCAAGGCTAACCTGAACTACAAGACTGTGCCTTAAAAAAAAATGTAAAAACTGATACAGAAGTTCAGAGTAGTTTGAGGTTCTTATCAAACAGTTATCAAATATTATTGAGAGCCTTTTGTTAAGGATAATAAGGAAGATACACAGGAACATCTGTCAGATAGACATAGTCTGATCAAAGTAGATGTTCTTAGTACTAAATTGTTTGAAAAGAAAAATAATTGTTCATTGGAGTGGGAAAAGAATTACGGTAGTAACTGGATATTAAGCTGCAACCATCTTTAGTTAGGATGGATATGACAATGTTGCTTTTGAGACTTGACTGATGTTGACCCGTGGCTTTAGTTTCTTACTCAGAAGGGGCGCTGAGTAGTTGAGTGAGCTCTGCACTGTCACCTAAACAAGTAGGTTTTGTGCGTGGTAGCAGCTCCAGTTCAAAACTAAGGCTCAGGTTCTTAGATTCACCACCCCTGTTAATAACCCAGGAATTTCGGGGCTGGGGATTTAGCTCCGCAGCATAAGCGCCTGCCTTGCAAGTAGGTAGTCGTGAGTTGGATCCCCACCGATAAAAAAAGAAGAAGACAAAAAAATAACCCAGGAATTAAGTTGTCACCTATTAGCTTCCCAGAAATTAAAAAAATATGCTGATGGCAGTACATGAAACATTAATTTTGTTGTTGACTGTAACTTTGCTGGTGTAACTTTTTGGAAAGTTAATTGGCAATAACTGTTAGGTTGCCTGAATAATACCACTGGATTCCCAGTACTTAGACAATCAATGTGTAGGGATATTAATACAAAAATTTTTTGCTGTGTTGTTCATAGTGGCAAAAAAAAGTATAAATTGTGGAGCCAATCAGGAAGTGATTGGACAAATTATGCTCTAAACATTGTAAAGACTAGTGTGCTTCTATTAAAAGATGTAATACATCCATATACATTAGCCTGGAGTATAAAAAAAGTTGCAAAGTTAATATTAGTGTAGTATGGCATATGATAAAAAAAACCCTACAGAATTTACTAGTAGGGTCGACATTTCAGAATGGTAGAGGGTTCACATCAAACTGTTAAAACATTTTCTCAGAAGTAAGTTTGGCAGTATGACTGAATTATCTTCTACAATAGTGTTGTTTGATTTACTGGAATAATGTAGGTATTCTAATTTTAAGAAAGTTATGAAATCAGAAGGGGAGAAATCTATGTTAGAAATTCTACTAAAGTTTACGGGGACTAGGGAGGGGAGGGGATGATGGCTCAGAAATTAGAATAAGACTTCTTGGCAATGGGTAATGCTCTCTATCTTGAACTCAGTGTTGATCTTACAAGTAGGTTCACTTTGCCAAAATCCATCTAATTATATGTTTATACTTCGTACAATTTTGTGTCTGTATCAATTATGATTATAAAAATTTTACTGCAATATAATTCAATGGAATTACAATTCAATGGAATACTATGTTTTCTTAAAATATTTCATCAACTATGTAAATGTATGATGTTAGGCGAGAAACGGCCCCCTTATAAAATGTACATAAAAATGCAAAATGAAGACTGGAATAAAAACATTACAGTATCAACAGATACTATGTCCAGCTAATAGTTTTGGTGGTTTGGTGTCTTGCTTTTGTTTAAGGACAATATTTGTTGACCAACAGAAAGTGGTGAGCAAAGTCAAATAACGGATATTAAGCAGAAAATAAAGGCAAAAGGCAGGGCTGGGTGGTCATGTCTGTGATCCCAGCACTCAAAAGGCTGAGGCAGGAGGATTGTAGTGAGTTCAAGGCCAGCTTGGACAGCAAAGCAAGACCTTGTCTCAAGAAAACAAAAATCACACACCAAAGGAAAAGGAAGAAGAGAGGCGAAAGCATTAAAATTAAAAAAGGAAAGCAAACTAGAGAGAGGTAGAAGTCAGGAAATTTTTAAAATCTCTACTAGGAAAGGACTTTTATTTCAGCTGTTAAGTCATCATGTAGAAGAGTGCTTTAAAAATTGTCATACTGTTTGGCTTTTAAAAATAACACATATTTGATGCCTAATTTTTACTGCCTTTGTTTAGGCATTCCGTTTAATGAAACTTATAGTTTCAGATGGCCTTAGCAGATGCAACTTGTAGTAGAGTTTAAGAAATCTATTTTTTGTCCCAATCTTCACTGATTATCTATAATTTGCTTAGCTTTTTTTCTTTTCATTGCACAAATAGTGCCTTGCTAAATTGTACTGTAGTGAGAATCAAATGAGAAGATATGTGTGGAAGTAGCAGAATGAAACCCTAGCCAATTACGATATTACATTCTTTTCTTCTTCTTCTTCTTCTTTTTTTTTTTTTTCTTTCTTTTCCTTCAACCCAGAATTCTTGGTTGCGGAATGTAGTTATTTCCTGACGGAATTTATTTTACTTACTGAGTTCTAAAATTGAGGTTTATGAAAGAATGTAATTTTTTTAGCCAAGTTCTACAAAGGTTGCAGCTAATATTTTTCGATGCATGGGCTGTGATTGAAGTGCATCATGTTTTACTTTCATAATTCTGCTTTAAATGTAAACGTTTTTATTGTGTCTCACTAATTGTGGAGCTGTCAGGGAAAATCATCAGGCTTTCCCCCATTCCAGTCATTCTGTATTCTACTTAAAATGAGCGAAGTCAGGTTTCTTCAGGTGTTTTTGATAAGGGCTTGACTTTTGATTACCCTTAACCCAGTAGTAGTCGTGGGTACACACTGAGTTGAGTTGGGTTGGGTTGGGTTGTAGACGGCTGCGTGGCACTAGGACCCAGGGGGCTCCCGCGAGCGGATCTTGGGGCCAGATTGCAAATTCGCGGTGACTCAGTCTGGTCGGCTCCTTGCGCTCGGCGGCCGCGGCAGCAGCAGACGGCGGCCGTGCCGCGGCGAGCAATTTCGCTGGCCTTCCCGGTCTGGGGCGTCCTTGGGGCACTGCGGGCAGGTCGGAGGCGTACGGGCGCGCGGGAGGCTGCGGCGCGGGCGCCTCGGGCCTGTGCACCGGGAGTAACGTTTGCTCTGGCTCTTCCTGTGTTTGGCTTTATTTGCAGCAAACCAAGATGGAGTATGAGTGGAAACCTGACGAGCAAGGGCTTCAGCAAATCCTGCAGCTGCTGAAGGAGTCCCAGTCGCCGGACACCACCATTCAGAGAACCGTGCAACAAGTATCCTTCCCGAGGCCTGCCCGCAGCCCCGCGGCCGCCCAGCCCGCCTGGCTCCCCTGCCCTCCCCTCCCTCCCCTCCCCCGGCGCCTGCTCCGCTCGGCCGCCGGCCGCTCCGGCCCGGCCCGGCCCGGCCCTGCGCACGCTGCCCTCGGCCCGCAGGGCGCCGCAGCCGCGTGGGGCTTGCTGCTGGGCTGGCCGCTTCCGGGCCGCCGCCCGAGATCGCGACATGTGCGCGGCGGCCGCCACGTCCCCGCCCGCGCCGACCTCCGCCGACCTGCGAGGGGCGGGGAGCGCGCGAGCGCCCGGGCCCACACAATGCGGCCCGCGGGGGCGGTGGCGCGGGAGGCCAGGCGCAGGGCGCCGCGCGGCCGGCCGGCCGGGTGGGTGGAGCCGGCGCAGGGTTTGAACTACCGCGGGCTAGGCTTTGGGCTTTCTCTGGGATTTGGGTCTGTTTTGAGCGGCTGGCCGTCTCCAGGGGCTGGGGCCGTGGTCCGGGGCTCCCTCCCTGGCTGTTCAGGTAGCACCTGTTGCAAGCTCCCTGGCTCCGAAGTGAGCTTTTGAGAAGCTTTGGCCCATCCATGTTTACTGCTGTTTGCCTAGGTCGTTATGGAGCATGCAGGAGCAGCGGTCCTGCTACTAGTTATAAAGAAGCAAAATCGTTAATATGGATGCTTTCTGTAGTACCCTAAAATGCACAGATGGAGAACTCACCTTACTGAATTCAGTAAGGGATAGAAATTCACCAGGTTATGAGTAACCTTTTTATTACTGTTCTTTTAAGCTCAAAGAGGTTAATTCTGTAAAAGACGTAAACCTATTTTTTTGAAAAGCTTCTTGATTTTTATTGTTAATAGGCAGGTAAATTAATATGGAATTTGATAAGTAAGCTATTATTGTTATTTGAAGTCAATAAAATTTAAAACCCTATGGAGATGGAGTTATTTAGCAGAAGGTTTCAAAGAAGTGCTACACTTCCGTAACCTAAGACTTAAAGTACATGATTGAGTTAAATACCCAGCTTCTTGGTTAATGTAGCATCACCCATTTAAAAACAATGGGGGGTGCTAATGAATATTGCTAATATTGAGTAAACAGTTCAGAGTTATTATTGGAACTTTTATATGAAAGTGCTGTGATTGAGTCTTAATTCATAGCTCTACAAATGATTGAAGTTGACATTTAATTGTAGATATTTTACAACACAATTGTTAGTTTCTTAAAATAGAAATTTTTAAAATTCTAGCCTTAGCTAGAATTACATTGTAATTTTTTGTGTTGCTGTATATTTATGTACCTTTCATTTGCCTGGTATCATAAACACTTTGGCCAGTCTAGCATCAGTGTAGTTTATTGTATACCTGGAGTATAGTATGTCCTCTGAGTAAGAACACACGAGGGAACATATTTTAGGCACTACTTTTATGTTTTACAGTGCTAATAATGACTGTTCTTTTGTGTCTCCTAAGGATAGAATGTATTTGGTTGTTGTTTTGTATAGGCATGAGTAGTTTAGAAAAGCCATTGTAATAGTATAGATGCAGCTCATGTAAGAAAGAAAGTCTTATGAGGAAATATTTATGAAAATTTACTAGCATATCAGCACGATGTTAATCTTGACCATTCATTAAAGCAAGTGATTGATGTCTGAATTTTTTCCTAGTTGGAGAAAGTAGTTACACTTTGGAATTTTATTAGAGAGTAGAGTATATTTTGCTAAAAGTTACATTCTGATCCCTAAACCTTGTGATAACATTCAAGTATGTATAAGTATAATAATTATACCTAACAGATTTAACCAGAAATTTAGGACTGAGTAAAAGCATACTTTCATCTTTCTTTGGAAGCATGTTAGAAGTTGACAATCACATTTGAAGAAAGAATTAGAGCTTTATGCCACTGTTGCCTGCTAACCTGAGTTAAGCACCTCCATACTTGTGTGACTGGGCACATTAGATGTTGGAGGACGTAGAATTAGATGTTAAAAATACACTATTAAAGTTAATTTTCATAAATGTTCTCTAAAAGACTTGTTTGCTTATCTTTAAAATACTTTTTTTGGCTGTGATGTTTTAAACAGTTGTCTGATCTAAGAATTGTGTTCTATAAAAATGTTTCACTGTGTTGAGCACGCTGAAGCTGGAACTTGCCTCTTCATATTGAATATAGTTAGTGTGTCTTCCATAAAGCACCTGAGGAATTTAACAAGCTCTAGTGTGTTTTTAGAATAGCATGTCAATAATTAGCTTTAATAACCTTATTTTTAGTAAAAAGTGAGTAATAAGAAACAAGAATTCTTGATTATTAAATTTAAAAGTGCTTGGTTTCTTTCTTAGGTTATATTAGAAAAGTTTCCTTAACTACCGTTTGTTCTAGAAACTGGAACAGCTCAATCAGTATCCGGATTTTAACAACTACTTGATTTTTGTTCTTACAAAATTAAAATCTGAAGGTAAGTAGGGTTTGTCTTATTCAAAAGTGCCTTTAAGACCTATGAAGATATGTTGGGAATGACTCATTTCCTAGGGTTTTATTTTGCAGTATCTAATCCTTAGTATACATGGAATGTATAGTCTTATTAGAGTTAGCACTCCAAGTCTTTAGATGCTTAATAAGTATTCAGTTGTTAATTGTTTAAATAATACATTCATTCTTTACAAATAAATGTGATACAAAGTCTACTTTGATTTAGCTTCATTGCTTGTACATGAATATAATAAAGATGATTTAATATACAGGTTGAATGCAGGATTTAATAATTAACAATACATACAGGTTCATTATAGGAAAAATTGAAGTCACATAACTGAAATAAAAAAAATCGCATCTCCTCTCCCAGAGATGATTGCTGATCTCTTGAACCATAAATATGTATACTCTTACATGACCATATACTGCTTTTAAATTTAAAAAAACCTGGAATTGTATTGTAAATATACATTTATTTCACAAAATATGACTTTCATTAACTTGCAATTTTAAATTTAAATTTTACTTTTATGACTGTTTAAAGCCTACTCTCCTGATCTTTAAGAGACATGGTCATCTGATAGTTTCTAATACAGTATGTCTCAGTGGACTTTCCTTCACAAGTATTTATTGAGTACCACCTGGTGCAGACTCAGGAAGTAGATGGGAACAACATAAATATCACTACCCTCAAGGAGCTTACATTGTAATGAGGAGCATTCTTCATAGTATTACTTAAGTATTGAATACTCCCTTCCTGGAACAGCATTAGATACAGAGAAGACAGTTTGGGGGTTTTGGGGGGGGGGTGACAATTAACTGACCTCTAAATGAAAGCACCAGGAAGCCACAGTAAAAATACTGACTTGGAGTAATAAAATAACAAGTTTTGTTTAGATACTGACACTTAGTCGTTCAACCTCTCTTGCTTCTTTCAGCTATAAAATGCCTGTGTTAGACAACCAGATCATCTGTAAGATTTCAGCTCCAACCTCTAGCAGGTTAATGGTTTTAATGTGGTAAAATTACACAAATCTTGTATTTAGATTTTGATAAGTGATACACATTTTAGTGATTTTTGTTCTCAAATAATTTTCTAGATAATTTTGTGGGTTTTAATTAGTGATTGAGGACATTCAATTTTCTAAGCCTAGGTTTTAAAACTATGAATTATATATTTAAAATCAGTTACTAGATTGGTAAATATATATACAATATGTTCTTTGTTAATAAAAGAATTTTCCTTAAACAGTAGTTGCAATCAATAATTTGCACTTGGAACTAGGGGTATAGTTCAGTGGTAGAGCACTTGCATGCCCTGGCTCCAGTCCCTAGCATGACAAAAATAGAGGGGGCTGGGGGTTTAGCTCAGCGGCATAAGCACCTGCCTTGCAAGCAGGCGGTCGTGAGTTCGATCCCCGGTACCGATAAAAATGAAAAAGACAAAAAAAAAAAAAAAACAAAAAACAAAAAAATAGATACATAGATAGATAATATACATTATTAGGCTTTTTGAAGAACTAAAATATTTAGTAAATGAAAACTTCTAATCTGTGTATTTAAAAATTTTAGTTGTATTCACTAGGCTGGCCTGTCTTACTGTTACCTATATTCTACATAATTTGTTACAGTATTATACTTAGAAAAGCATTATTGGCGTGTACCAATACTTCAAAAGCATTTAAAAAGTGTAATTCAAATAATGGCAAGAGAGTTGAGGGGAGCAGCTGCATTCAAAAAGAATTTTAATTATAAAGCTCTAAAATGTTGGAAAGCAATTTAAAAAGTTAATTTTAAATAAAAGTAATTTTAAATAAAAGTTAATTTTAATAGAATGTTGGCAAGTAACATTTTCTTGAACCTAAAATGTATTTCTTCGGTTCATTAAGCAGTTTCTGAAAGGACATAGGAGTTTTATATTTGTGTAACACTTAATACTTCCTGTGTTGATCATTGGTTTCTCCCTGGAAAGATTGGGATGCAAGTTTGCCGTTTCTAGTTTTATTTAAAAAAAAAAAAAAAAAAAAAAAAAACAAAACCCATCCACAAAAGAGAAGGAATATAAGTAGCATCTTTAGCACTTACTCACTAATCTAATTGCTGAATTATAAAGTATGAAGTTAGATTCTGTAAAGACCTGAGATGAGCTGATTTAATTGTCACTTTATAAATGAGCAGATTGAATGAGGCCCAGTGATATTACAAGATTTAGAAGGAAATGATTAGTTGGTGGTTTTCTGAAATGGATTTTGAACAGAGAGTATATACTTTTAATTATAAATTGTTTCACCCTTGTCGTAGTTTATTTAAAAGTATCATCTTACATCATTTATTGTTAAAACCAGTGAAGTACATTCCTTGTAAGCAAATATGCATGCCACTTAAAATAATTATAGTAGCTAATTGAAATAAGTTGTGATTGAAAATAAGCTCGACACAATGACATAAAAGCTCTCGGGTTATATTGCTCTGATGACCTGAACAAGATTTATATGCAAAGAAACTGCTGTTTGCCTCTATGTATGCTTTACCCTTTAATACTTTAATACCACTCAGAATTTGAGCACATAATACTAACTAGAACAAGCTCCAGATACTTACATTTAAATAAGGTGGGTAAAAGTGTTACAATAGAGTATTTTATCCATACATTGACTTGTCTGGTCCTTTTAGAGGAAGATAATTCTGTAGTGTTTTAAAGCATATGCTGTGGAGCCAGACTCTTAAATTGATCATTTGACTTCCTTGCTTAGTAGTCTTGTGTAACTTTGGCACAGAACTTCGCTCGTTCAGTAAGGTAAACAATGCTTCTCACAAGGATGTGAGAATTAAGTGCACTCATAATTCTAAAGCACTTAACAAGTGTGTCAAGCTTAATAATCATTTGGAAGTTAACTTTTGCTAGTGGTAATGTCAAAGAATCTGTTGTATTCTAACATTAAATTGATTTTTGAAAATGTATTAGCATTATCAATGGCCTAGACCTTTTTAAAAGTAAATTCTATTTTTAGATATTTTTGAAAATTTTTGCCTTTTTTACACTCAGGCAAGTGAAAAACATAAATTAGTTAACTTATATTTATATTTGTTGTGTGAAAGTGACCCTGGATGTTCATTGTCTGCTTAATTTTTTAATAGGATATTTTTAATGACAAATACTTGAGCTCCACAATGATGTTTATATTGAGCAATAATAAAACCTTAATAAAAAGGCCATCTATGAGCTAAATCAACTCATTAACAGTTCTCAGCAAGGAGCAGCTTCTCCCTACCCCAGATATTTGGCATTATCTAAAAATATTTTTGATTATAACAGTGAGGGAGGGAAGTGCTGCAGGCATCTATGGCCAGGAATGGGAATAAACGTCTTACAATGCAGCAGATAGGAAGAAGAGAAAAGTACAGGCCATACCTCACAACAAAGAATTATCCTTGAAATAGTGCAAAGATTTGCATTGTTAAACAGCTAATTTTTTATAATCATTTGACTTTTTTGTTTCTTTTACTGGTTGTAGAAAAATAAATTGGAATATTGTAATCAATCTGAATATAAAGCTATTCTTGATACTTTTTGAAATAAAAACTCATTTAAAATTTAATTACTTTATTATAGATGAACCCACGAGATCATTGAGTGGTCTCATCTTGAAGAATAATGTGAAAGCACATTTTCAGAACTTCCCAAATGGTGTAACAGACTTCATTAAAAGTGAATGTCTAAATAATATTGGTGACTCCTCTCCTCTGATCAGAGCTACTGTAGGTAAGTTACATACAAAAATTCTGCTTATCCTGTTTGTAACTGGATTGTTTTAAAGGAATTCTTGTTACTTATTTCATGTTACCTTATGGTGGACACATTTTGCATTGGCATTTAAATGCTTTTGAAAGTATTAAGGGGCTGGAGATTTAGCTCAGCGGCATAAACGCCTGCCTTGTAAAGCAGGCAGTCGTGAGTTCGATCCCCGGTACTGATAAAAAGGAAAAAGACAAAAAAAAAACAAAAGACAGTATTACTGATTACAGTAAAGGCTCTTTTACCCAGGCAGACCAAAGTCACTCATAGTTGGTTTGTCAAAATTGGTTACAGTGACGCCATCAGTGAATGGTATTTAGGACCATTGGCCTGGATATATACAGATTGAAATTCCTTTCTGTCTGCCTGTGTAAAGCTGGGGATGTAATTTCTAGCGTAGCTTTCATGAAAAATTTTATTTTATAAAAGCAGTCTTTAAGTATAGGGTTCTGGATGTTAGCTCTTCCCTTTTGTTTCTAGCATTTGCCTTATCTATACCTAATTAGCAATTTTTACGTCTTTTTTCAGTACATAGCTTGTCAGGGAAAGAACTTTCAGTTCATGTAATGTTAAAATAATTATAATTGAAATTAATTTAGGAGCACATACAACTGGCTGAGTGCATATATTGGTGACAGCAGGACAGCTGTGCTCCAGAGTCACCCACTAACGGGCAGTATTCAGCACACCTTGGGCTTTTGCAGCTGTATTTTACAAGGACTTGGAAAGCTGCTGTAATGTAAAACTGAAATGAATCAAACTTTCAGTAAGAGGTCCTTAGTTTATGTACTTTAAATATGAAAATTACTGTCTCTTAAAAGGTAGAGGCTCTGATTTGTCCACATATTTTCATACTGAAGAGTGGTATTAATACTGGCTTCAAATTTGATGCATTGAGGACATCTGTAGTTTAAAAACAGAGACTCCCTCAGTTATCCTGTGGTACCCTCTTGAAGCTTTACCAACTCTTTGACACTCTTAAAACAAATGATAGAGGGTATGACAATTTTTGAAATTGATAGGCTTCCTTGGAACAAAGCAATTGAGAGAATAAAGGACATGATGTAAACATTATGAGATTGTTTTCTCCCTAAACTGTATCTCACTAAAAACCTGTATTTGAATACCATTTGAATCAAACCACAGTACTTCGTGTCTTTTTTTTAGCATGTTTGGGAGTTAGATTTTTCTGGATTTTTTTTCCTTGTGTTGGGTATCAAACCCATGGCCAGGTACATGGTGAGTTAATCACTGAGCTATATCCCAGCCCAGAATTGTTATGAAAAGTCCTTGCTTTTGGTTCATTTTTGTGTATATAAATATCCTAATTGTGAGAAGCCACTGAAGGTATCTAAAGGGAAAGATGTCCAGTAAAAATGAGTTTCAGATACAACTGCAGTATATTTCTGAGTTACTGTGTAGAATGTAATTGAAAAAAAGTTGGGAGTGCGAAAGTGAGTTTGAGTAGAAATACCGATCAAGTTGCTTGTGTTGATACCTATTCTGAAAGCTGTATCATGAACTGAATGTGTAATGAATGAAATATTTCTCTACTTTTTTATAAGGATGTATATCCCTTATCTGTAATGCTTGTGACTATAATTGCTTAAAATTTCACAGTTTTCTGGACTTGAAATATTTGCATAGACTTTTATCAATTGCGCATCCCTCAATTAAAACTCAAGCTGCTATGAAATCTGAATCTTTTGTGTATCATGAAGTTTCTGTTTTGGATCTTCAGATTAGGATTGTTTAACCTATATATGTTAACTTTTCCATTTTTAAAAAAGTTTGTAAAATTAACTAAAACAAAGTTATCAGCTTGAAATAAGTTAAGCAGCTTGACCAGTTAAATTTATCTGCTTTGGGGCTGGGGATTTAGCTCAGCGGCTTAAGCACCTGCCTTGCAGGCAGGCAGTTGTGAGTTCGATCCCCGGTACCAATAAAAAGGTAAAAGACCCCCCCCCCCAAAATTATTTGCTTTACTTTTGTCCTTCCACATTTTTTGATATAGAGAAGGTATAGAAAAAGTAGGATGCAGCTATAGAAATTGCTCTCAGAAGAGGGAGAAATTTTACAGTCACAGCCTTAACATGGATTTCTATTGTTATTTTGGTGGTTTTAAAAATCTGAAGTGCTTTCAGGACATTTTATAATTTTTGTAGGCTTCTGAAAGGTACCTCTAAGAACTGCAAACACAGTTCTTCATCACTTATCAACCTTAGAAAACTGATGTATTTTTACTGCTATAGCGTAAGTATACTGCACTATTAAAGTAGGATCCTATTAATTTTACAGTCCCACCACTTGACATTGAAGACTAGATGATTCTTTGCCTTTGGTATATTCTGCACATACTTATCAACATCTCTGACTTCTATTCATTGGACACCAGTAGCAGCCACACACTCCATTGTGCCAATTGAAAATGCCTATGTACAGTGCCACGCATGGTGGCTAGGGTACCTGACTAAGCTCCTTAAGAGCGCAGACCACACCTTGGTGTTTTGTTTTATTTTGTTTAACACCTCATACAATATTTTTTAGAATGTTATTTTAAAGAGAGCAAAACCAAGCAAAATAAAACAGAATAAAGCCAATCAAAACAACAGTGTGACCTGATTTGCAAGCAGGCGGTCGTGAGTTCGATCCCCGGTACCGATTAAAAAAAAAAAAAAAAAAAAAAAAAACTAAAAAAAAAACCACACAAAAAAACAGAACAGTGTGATATAGGACAAAAAAAGATAATAGGAAATCTGCAGTGGTTACCATAATGCCTCTTGCTGTCTTCAGAATAGCTGCTCATACCTTTGGATATAGTAGAAATCAAACAAAACAGAACAGAATAGAACCAATGAAAACAATCAACACAATAAAAGACTTCAAAACAAGGTAATGGTAAGTCCAAAATGGCTACCATAATATATCTTATTATCTTTGAAATTGCTACCATTGGATATAATAAAATCAAATAAGACAAAACAGAATAAAACCCAACCAAACAAAACAATGTAAATGATACAAGACTTCAAAACAAGATAATAGGGAATTAACAAAGGCTACCACCTTCAGAAAGAGATCCCCATAGATGCTACATGGAGTATTGTTATCCTCTGAATAGGTGGTAAGACCATTGGCTTCTGACCTTCAGTCAGTGAAGTACTAAACACTACAGGCATTAAATTGTGTTCTACCTCAGTAGCCATCATGGCAGTCTGTGTTTCTCCAGACCAGCTGGTCATTTATGGTGGGGGCAGAAGGGAGCTCTTTTTATCTCCCAGCATGCTTGTAGAAGAGCTTGGCATCTGGTTCTTTCCCTAGCAGCCCATGTGTGGTTGGTCACTCGCAGGAAGGGCTTGCTTCTTGTTCTTAATACAATATTTATATAATATTAAAAACAGTAACCATTTTAGCTAAGAGTTCTGATTATAAAAGTAAATTTACAGCTTTGGTTGTTTTGTATTGCTTGGACAGGATCTCATATGTTGCCCAGGTTAGCCTCCACTACTCCTGGGTTTAAGTGATCTTCTTCCTCAACTCCCTAAGCAGCCAGGACTACAAGTGTGTGTCACTGCACTCAGCTTTAAAACTTCATTCAGTCTTTTTAGTGTACAGAGAATCTTGCCAAGGAAATGTATTTGGAAGGGATCACATTTTAATGACTACTGTTCAGTTGGATAAACATAAACTTAATTCTCTTATTAAGGAATGTGTGATATGTCATTTTACCATTTCAGTCAATGTCCTTTCACATAAATGTATATACTTGTGGAAAATTATCTTGCTTTCATAGAAGTGGCATCTCTGAATCAGAGTGTTGTTTAAACATTTAAGATTTTAATAGGTATTGCCAGCTGCACTGGTGTTTGTTTCTGAGTTGGTTTTAAACTGAAACTTGCCTATAACTTTTCTCAGCTATGTTAGGTATTAGGTTTTTCAGGAATTGAGATTTTTAGGGTAGTTAAATTTGGAATTTGTCTGTTGATCAGCATTCTTTAATGCTTACTAGATGTAATGAATGTTAACAGTCTTAGTACCAAATTGTATATTGTTTCTAAGTTTTGTATATATGAGATATTCTTTTAGTGTTTTTGTTCTGTTTATTTTAAAGGCAGATTACATCTTTTTCCCTCATTTCTTTTGTATTTTGCCTGAAGAAATAATCAGCAAGAGGGATCAGGTCTTGCCACTTTTGAGTGTACTGAGGACTGTTTTTAAAGGTTGACAACTCAAAGTTCATTCACACAGTGTAATTTGCTGTTCAGTAATTACTGCTGTTTACTATGGTGATAGGCATTTTTCATGTGTATTGTTGAATTTTCAAAGTAGCCCTTTGAGAAGAATACTTTTCATTTTTACGGGTTAGTAATGTGTGGTTTCGAGTATATAGAACTTGGCTAGTGTCAATTTATACCTTTACTAAAGAAAATCCATAGTCACCAGGAATGTTGCATTACTAATAGTATATTTACTAAGGCAGAGAAGATGGATTTGCATAATCCACTGACTGTACAGTATAGCTGCATCACACAGTTGAAATAATCTGGTCAGCCAGCGTTGTGCCACCTAACCCCAGAGATCCAAGATAATCTTTCTAGCATTTCATCCTTGAATCCAATAAGGAACTGGCGTAGGGGTCTGTGGCCTGTGTACATGACCCAGGAAGCCAGTCTGTCTGTTCCCTGTGATGCTCCTCTACTTTTATTTTTCCTTTCCATTGCCCTTGGCTGTGATTCAAGGTCAAGTTAGGGAACTCTTCTTAGTTTCTTGATACTGTACTTTTTTTTTTTCTTTTTGAGAAAAAAAGCAAAACATAAAAAGGGTAGAAATAATACAGAATTTCAAAAAAATAATAGGTATCACTAGTTGATAAATTACATATTGCTATCTTAGAAGTAATAGTTCATGTTACAAAATCAAAGCATAAAAAATGAACAAATGATGACAATATAAACTTCTGTTTGATGAACTAATAAAAACTTTGTAAGTAGTATGGTTATTAATCTTGCACACTTAAACATACAGTTATATGTGTATACCTAGAGGTTGTTCTTTACTTTTGAGCACTTTCTTTCCTTTTCTTTATTACAGTATCTTATACATTTTGGGTCTTATTACTTAATACTGTACATCTTTTATTTGAACCTAGCAGTGATCTAGGTTTGAATCTACTCAGTGATAAGTGCTACTAAATAATATTGTAGTATGTTACTTTTTTGCTCTCATATATATATATATATATATATATATATATATCTTATAACATTGGAGTTAACTTTAAATTAGTTATCCTTGGTATTGTTGGAGAAAAATTAGACATGGTCTTTTGTAGAGATATTAAGCAAAATTTTTTTTTAAAAAACCTATGCAAGGTATAATGTTAATGGACAGATCTAATTCATGCTGTGATTTTTCCATAGATTATGGTATGATAATATGAGAGCTGTTAATGTTATTTAGTGTTATGGAACCCTGATGCTGATGTGGGTATTTCAGTGTGTACGTTGCTCAACTGACCGGATTTCCTGAAAAGTATGTATTTTCTTCCAAGGTATTTTGATTACAACCATAGCCTCCAAGGGAGAATTGCAGAATTGGCCTGACCTCTTACCGAAACTCTGTAGCCTTTTGGATTCTGAAGATTATAACACCTGTGAAGTAAGGATATTTGCTTATTATACTTTTGTTTTGTTTTGTTTTGTTTTGGGGAAGTGTTTCTGTTTGTTTTCATTTTTTTTTTTTTTTTTTTTTTTTTGGTCATACTGTATATTAACACTCTTTGGGAACATAGTTCCTCTGAAACATAAGCTTTAAAATAGAAACCTACGGCCAGGCATGGTGGCTCACTCCTGTAATCCCAGCACTTGGGAGGCTGAGGCAAGAGGATTGACCTGGGCTACAAAATAAGTCTAAGGCCAGCCTGAACCACATAGTGAGACCCTGTATCACAAAGGCAAAAAAAAGAAAAATGAAACCAAAAGTTATCTTTGTATTTTACATTTCTGGTCATTTATTTTACTGTTAACTGTGCAGAATGCTGCTGCTGATTGACTTAGAAGCAGGAACATAAGTGGTTGAGGTAGCTGGCAGAGTGTACCTTATGTACAGTAGGGTTAAAAATAATAGTACAGAAAAAGTTGCTGTCTGAATTGTCTGCCCTTGTTAAAGGCAGGATTTGTCACCAGTTACAAAGCGGTTTATATGCAACTTTGTAATGTTATTAATGACATCTTTTTGTACTTTCTTTGACACAACATCTTACTGTGAAGTTCAGGCTGACCTTGAATTTTCATCCATCCTGTCTTAGCCCCCTAAAGGCTGAGATTAGAGGTGTACACCACCACACCCCACTTAATGAGTTCTATATGTGCCTCAGAAAGTGTCATGATGATTAAATACACTTCTATGAAAGTAGTTTTCTATTCAGTTTAGCATTAGTAAGAAAAATTTAGCATGAACTTAAAGTTGACCAAAGTATTTCAATAGTTAGATTTTTGGATAGATAGTATTTTTTATATCATTGCCAACCAGGATATTCTCCAGTTCAGTGTTACTTAATGGAAAATTAAAAGGCACCATCATATTTAAACTGTGATACTTTAGATACTGTGTTCTAAAATGGAGTAATTTTTTATGGATTTTATGTGAGCTAAGAATAGTAATGCATACAAATTAGTTGATGTTCTTGTTACCTTTTAAATGTTTGGGTGCTTTTGATCTTATTGGTGCCTATTAGTAACACAGAATAGGGAGATTCACTTTGGTATATTGAAATGTGAATGTAACATGATTTTCATCTCTGTTCCTTTCTCTTTTCCCTCTTCCCTCGCTGTAAGCCTCTTGTCCATCTCTTAAGTCTACCTTCTAGTTTTGTGTCATCTCTCAAATCTTTTTAAATTTTAGATTGCTTATATAAAAGAAAATGCGAGATACTTAACTAAAACTGGCTTATCTTACTTAACAAGTTCATCCCCATTGTTCTTTTTAATGGCTTAGTAATGTTCTGTTATGCATGCACGAGTGTGCGATACATTTTCTTCAGCCATTTTATTGATGAGCACCACGTGTTCTTTTTCTTTAAGACAAATGTTAATGAATAAATTACTTTTTTCCTCTAATACCTCAGTGTTCAGGTTTGATTGCAATGTTAGCACTATGTGGTAAATAAGTGGGTTTGGGATTGCAAGTTGGTCTCTTCTCTAAAACATTCGCCATCATAGCCCTAAGTCTGTTTCCATTGCTCACCCTTTGTGAATTGCGCATGGATATTAATGCTTTTATTTTTAACAATTTTGTTTTAATGAAATTTTAACAATTTAAATATGTGTCTTTTCCAGGGAGCATTTGGTGCCCTTCAGAAAATATGTGAAGATTCTGCTGAGATTTTAGATAGCGATGTTTTAGATCGCCCTCTCAACATCATGATTCCCAAATTTTTACAATTCTTCAAGCACAATAGCCCCAAAATAAGGTATTTATGTTGGTAGTGTTAGTTTATAAATGATGGAAGCCTGACAACTCCCCTACTGTGCAGTATCCTAGTATTTTTGTGATTAGCAAAAGATACAGATATTCCACAAAAATGAACATGAATAATTGAAGTTCACTACTTTTTTTTTTTTTTTTTTTTACCAGTACCAGAGATCGAACTCACAACCAAGCGCTTGCAAGGCAGGCGCTTATGCCACTGAGCTAAATCCCCAGCCCCTGAAGTTCACTACTTTAATAACAACTCACATAAAATGCTGACTCTTACTTTGTCAAATAGTTTTATCAGATTTTTATTAAATTTAATATAGTTCAGAATGATTAATTGTATTCCTAAGAGTTTTGTTCTTATAAATTCTTTTGTTAAAAGCAGTATTAGTTGAGAATTAGTATCCTGTTTCCTTTATACTTCCATTTTAAGGCCCCAACTGATCTGTTCTCTTGCTTTTCTTCATCTTGTGTTGAATAAACTAATTGTTTTTTTGGGAGGTTGTCTTTTTTTTTTTTTTTTTATCAGTACTGGGGATCGAAGGGAGGTTGTCTTTTTGAGATAGGATTTTGCTTTGCAGTTCAGGCTGGCCTTTTAACTTGCCTGCCTCAACCTTCTTAAGTGCTGGCATGACAGGCATGTGCCACCATACCCAGCAAAATAATAGAACATTAATGAAAATTTGTTATCAATAGATTAAAAATGTAAAGGTTTATCTCTATTTTACTAGGGGCAGAAGTCAGCATTTTAAATTCAAGGTAGCAGAATTTTTTAGTATACTGTGAAATCAGATAGTGGGTCTAGTTGGCTAATACAGAAGTTAACCTAATCTGGTTTGTTTTTTTTAAACCTTTGAATCGATGCTTTCTAGAACAGTTCTTGGCATGTAGTTGTCAAAGTACTAACATTTATAGTATTAAATTAACCTTTGGTTAAGTTTATTGCTATTGAGCCAGGTGTGGTGGCGCATGCACTCAGGAGGCTAAGGCAGGAGGATCACTGTGAGTTCAAGGCCAGCCTGAATTGCAGAACAAGACCCTGTCTCAAAAAGACCAAAATACAAAACCAAAGAGTCATTGCTATCACTCATCAAGCTGTAGTCATCATAATACCTTCATTTAAAAGTTGAATGTGAGAGACACTTCATTATGTCACAAAATGTTTCATAGGCTACTGAACTTTTTTGTGTTTTGGGTCCAGTTATATAATTTTTTCTAACTTGTTTAGAAGCACTCCTAATTGTCAGTTATTGTTTCTAGTTGGTCAGCACTTCATGTTTTTGATACACTTTTATGGTTATCATATTACTATTTTAATAGTAATTGTTGCCTAAAGGCAGGGATCTTAAGTCATGAACTTCAGTGCATAGTGCTAACTACTAGTTGGGCTTCAAAATCCTAACTTGTATTCCAGAGTTATGGTTTCAGCAATGTGACAGAGGGCAAACATGAATCTATTTGTTGCTTAAAGTCTGTGTACTTTTTATTCTTTTATACATCTTGTGTTCTGCTCAGATTGATAACTGTAACTTTGTGCTAATGGTATCTGCATAAGTAGTACATTTTAAAAATGAAATTCTACTCAGTCAACTAGATAAAAGTTTACATTCTTAGGAATTCTTCTCTTGTTAGCATTTCATTTAAGGTGATGTACAAGTTTTGCATCACTTCTAGGAATCTTTTTTCTCACCAATCCTCAGATTTTAAAGGAAAACAAAATTCCATATAGACATGGCTGCTGTTTGATACATTATAGGTAGATATTAATACTCATAAGTATTACTTGATCATTAAATTTGCCCTCTATCATTTGATAGAGGGCTGGGGATATTGCTCAGTTGCACAGCGTCTGACTAGCTAGTGTGAGGTTGAGTTTGATCCTTGGTACCAGAAAATCAAAACAAAAAAAAAACTGTATGGTGTTCAGCAATACAGAAATGTTTCCGTTCAGTGAATGTTCTTTGTAACCCACTTGTGATTCTGTTTTACTTCCATTGGCATCTTTTTAGTGTATATTTGGGTAAATACTGTTTGCTGTATAGTTTGTGCACTAAACATTCACCTTTTTGTGAATATATTTGCCTTACTTTACTGTTTAACATCTTATTATTATAGTTTAATTGGTACTGTGCAGCTTTTTCTGTGGAATTGAAGAGGACTGGGATTGAATCCAGGGCTTTAGCACTGAGTTACATACCCAGCTATTTCAAAAGTCTGTCATATATGTACTTGTTCGTAGAATTATAAATATGGCTTTATACTACATGTAGTCTGCTGTCTTTATCCAGTATTATGTTGCTAAGATTTATCTAGCTATTGTGTCACTGTAGCTCATTTGTTTTGACTAATCTGAAATATTACCTTACATGACAATTAGGCAGTTCACGTACTACTTTCCCCTTGTGACCTTTTGGTGGTTTCTGGGGTTGTGCTACTGTCAATAATGAAGTGCTGCCAATGCCAAACTTTTCTGAAGAGAGGACACCGATTTCTAATAGTAGGATTTAGAATACTAGTGACATGTGGTCAGTATTTGTGTGTGTGGGGGGGTGTCAGTATTGGCTGCACATTTTAGGAATTTTGCAGCCAAGGGTTTTTTTTTGATATTTAAAAGCTTAATGTATCTGATATTTGATGTAAAATACAAATACTTTTTTTTTTCTTTTTTCTTTTGACCATCCTCACTATGTTGCCCAGCTATAGATAGGGATACTTCTGGTCTTTTCCATTTCACTAACTTATTTCCTTGTACCATTTGGTAAAATAATCTCTCCTGCCCATTCATTTAAAATCTCAGTTGTCATATGCACACTTATATCTAGATGTGTTTATGAGCCCTGTACTTTATTTTAATGCTAGTTAATGAACATACCTACTAACTGAATTATATTTTAAAGCAAAATTTTGAACTTTTGAGACTTATAGCAAATTAGAATTATTGCAGTAATGGGTATTAGAATAAATGAAAAAAAGAGCTGAACAAGTTAAACATTAAGAACATTAAGAGCTCAAGTTGAGAATAAATTTTCCTTTTTTAAAAAATTGTTCTCTGAAATATCTCAGCTTGGAAGAAAACATTGATAGTGCTACTATTTATAATAAGATAAATTTATATTCTGTATCAGAATGGAATGAAAATAAGAACTGCAGTTTCACAGCATATGACTTTGTCAGTTGAAATATTTCTAGTTTTTTGAAGAGATTTTTCTAAGAAAATGTTTAAGAATGACTAAACATTTGTCCTAAAATTCCAGGATGAAAACTGTTAGCATCTAGAGAAGAGACTTAACTGAGATTTATTTTGCAGGGAAAAAATGTCACTTACATATTGTTAGACAGCTCTGGTTCAGAAACTGATTATAAAGTGTGAATATATACTAAAAATAATTTTTATGCTTTTATACTGTTAGATAATCAGTATAAAGTTTTTGCTTTAGTTTTGCACTCACAGATATCCATAGCATTTCAGATTTGTCATCTAAGTTTCTAGCCTAGCTTTGATACCTTTTGTTGGAAAGTGATATTTAGAGCTTTTGGACATTAAGTGCCTTTTCCATATAAATTCTAGAATTACTGAGGTTTATTAAAAACTTTGTTAGAATTTATATTGGGATTGTTGAATCTATAGATTCGTATGGGGAAATAGACATCTTTATTAATAACTAAAAAGTTTAAAATTTTTTCCTTTTAGCAGTACTGAATATTTTATTAAATGCATTCCTAGGCACTTAGTCCTCTTCAATAGTGTTCTAAATGGTGGCTTTTTAAAAGCATTGAGTGAGTACTTTCTTAATTGCCGAGACATAAAAAAACAACTATGCTTTTACCATGTGGTGTGGTTGAGCTCCCCATAGTTTGCTTTTTTTCACTTTTGTTATTTTGGATATTGGTCAGCAAATTTTTATATGCTTTGCTGTTACTGTTTGGGGCATAGCAATTAAGAAAGATTTTGTCAGGCTTATATTCAGAAGCGCAGACAATAAGTAATGTAATTTGAGGCAGTGATGAGTATAATGGAGATACAATAAGGGAAACAGTCATTGACAGTGTTTCGTAGAGAGAGTTCTCTTTAATGGGTACTATTTTTGTAGTCTGAACAAAGCAAAGTAAATGTTTGAAAGGATGCAGTGAAAATGTTAAGACCAAAAAAAAAAAAAAAAAAACACAGCAAGTAAGAGAGCTCTGGAATTAAGAACAAACCTTTCATATTAGCAAAACCAAAGGGGGAAAAAAAAGCCTTTGTAGTATAGTAGAAATTGATGTTTTGGGATTCGGAAAGAACAGTAATATAAAGGAATGTCTGAGCTCTCACTCAGCAAACTGACCTATGGAGCTGATTTCATGACCTGCAAGCTTAGATGGAATTTTTATTTATTTAATTTTTTGGTTGTCTTTTGAGATAAGGTCTTGTTAATGCAATTTAGGCTGGCCTTGAGTTCATGTTGTAGCCTAGGCTTATCTCATATTCTCAGTGATCCTCCTGCTTCAGCCTCCTGGCTGGAATTACAAGCATGTGCCATTGCACCCAGCTTAAAAGGACTTTTATATTTTATACTTCTTTTGTTACTGTCTTTTTTGAGACAGGGTTTTGCTATACAGTTCAGGCTGGCCTTGAACTCACTTTGTAGCCCAGGCTGGTTTTGAACTTCTAACTATCCTCTTTGTAGCCCAGGCTGGTTTTACACTTCCAACGATCCTCCTGCCTCAGCCTCCTGAGTGCTGGGATAACAGGAGTGTGCTACCACACCTCGATGACTTTTATATTTTAAAAGGTTATATTTAAGGAGAAATAAGAACCCTATAAAGGTGACTTATGTGACCATGAAACTTTTAAAGTATTTACCATTTGGTCTTTTTCAGGAAAAGTAGGTTTAGTATTATTGGAGAAACCTGAACAAGAATGTATAGTGATCTTAAATTATGTGTGTTAAGAGGTTAAAGTAATGTTTGACACAGTAGAATTTGAGAAAACAATTAGAGCATATTGCAGGTAACCCTAGTAAAGGGTTGAGTTCGGTACATCAGAACACAGACCCTATTCTCCACTTATCATTTTGAAAAGAATATATACTTATTATTTTTAAATCTGTTGATTTATAAAATAAATTTTATTCCCTGCCTAACCTCCTTAGAGCTGTCCACTCTTAAAAATTTGCATATATCCTTTCAGAAATTTTTTCACTTGCTTAGAAATACGAATATTGCTCTGTAACTTACATGTCTTCACTTAGTGTATGATTCACATTTTTCTGTTGATAATAAATGGGTTTAATTTTAAATTCCATTCCTAGGTCTCATGCTGTGGCATGTGTCAATCAGTTTATCATCAGTAGGACTCAAGCCCTGATGATGCACATCGATTCTTTTATTGAGGTAAGATTTCTCACTGCTGTCTTCATTTTTGAAGTACTTTTTTGTGTTACTAAATTGTTTAATTTTGTTTGTTTTGAGACAGGACCTCTTTATGTGGTTCAGGCTAGCCTTGGGCTCACTTTGTAACCCAAGTTGATCTCAAGCTTGCAACAATCCTCTGCTTCAGCCTCCCGAGAGCTGGGATTACAAGTGTGAGCCACCATGCCTAGGTTTCTGTTACTAATTTTCTGCTTTTTATTTAAACTGTGACTATGCAGTATTACGAATGCTTAACAGTTTGATAATTTTTAAATTCTTCTCAATATACTATTCAGCTGAGTGCTCTGGTGCATATTTGTAAACTCAGCGCCAAAGGAAGTAGACTGAAGCAGAAGTGTCAAGTTCAAGTCCAGCCTAAGTAGCTTAGTGAGACCCTGTCCTAAAACAAAAATGACTGGTCCTGCAGCTCAGCAGTAGAGTACCCCCAAGGTTCGAGAGAGATATGTGTGTGTGTGTGTGTGTGTATGTGTGATATAGGATGTTTAAATTGCATCTCCCAGCTCATATACAATATTTAAAACATGAAAAATAAAGTTAAATCAATAATCTGAAGACTAGAAAGACAGTACTGTTTCATGCCTGGTAATGACTAGAGCAAACTATATCTGCTACAGCAGACTGAAGCAACAGACTACAGGCTGAAGTGATGATCCCATTCTACCTCCACATGCGGTGGTGTGTCCTACTTAGGTTTGTGAGGATGCACTCTGATGTTTGCACAATGCCAAATTGCCTGAGGATATGTTGCTGAGTTCATTCATATTCCTGTAATTAAGCAGTGCATGACTATCTCTGTATTCAGTTGATTCCCATCATAAAGTCAAAGGTGTCAAGAAAGAAATTGACTGTTAAATCTCCTCAAGCATCTGTGATGACACTTTGCATTTTATGATAAGAGCCTAAGTTTTGGTCATGAACCCTAAGCAGTACAAATCCTTTTCAAAACCTCTGCTGCCTGATAATAGCCACTGAAAGGATTCTTGAGATTCCATAAGCACTTTCACTTGTATTTTCATTGAATGAATTTTTAGTAAATACTCCATTTCTTTTCAACTGTTCTTAATCCTTTAGAGGTTGAACTAATGGTAAACTGTTGACAAATTACAAGAAGGTGAAATTGTGTTATTTTATTTTTAGAGAATCACTGACCCACCACTTTCTTGAGTTTTTTGCAGTGGAATGTCACTGTATTGCCATATTGGCCTCTAACACTCCTGGTTCTTCCTAAGTATATTTTATCACTAGACTTCAATAGAGTATTAGCATAATGATTATTAACCATTTATAAACCAAAATATATCTTAAATGTTTGATTGAATGTTATGAATCAGACATTGTGCTTCATTTCATGCAAGAGTGCAGAACATTTTTTGCTAAGAGGTTTTTTTTTAAGCAAAAATAAAACAATTTCAAAACAGGATAATTAGAGGGTAGCAGTAGTTAATACATTGTGTATTGTTGTCTTTAAACTAGTTACTCATGAGTATAAGATACCTGCATTTAATTGTCCAAGCAATATTCGCCCAAGCTTTCTTTTCAATGAACTAAGAGAAATTAGTAGTGTAACTATCTTTACAAAATCACGCATATTATTTCAGTTTCTCACACTAGGGAGAAAATACAGTGTTTATACATGTGAGTCATTTAACTGGTATTTTTTATTTTGGTTTGAATCCCAACTCAGCTTTGTAGCTGTGTGACCTGGGACCTTTTTATTTACTTTATTTAACTGGTATTTTCTGTTTTATCATTTGTAAAGTGAGACTAATAAGTGACCTACCTTCTTAGAGAATTACAAAGCTGGTTGCTATAAATAAATTGAAACAATGCCTGCCACAAAGTAAGCTTCTTATATTAGCTCTTTATCTAGAATTGTAGTTTCTGTTTTCATTATGGAAATATCTTAGTGTCTTTTAGCATCTGACAAGAAAATACAATAAATTTTCTGGAAATAAAAGTTTTGTCAGGACTATTTCAGCAAGTGGAGCAAGAACATTTCCCAGCATGTTACAGTGTTTTGCTTTATAGACATTCCTCATTTAACAGCCACCTGTGTAATGACTATTCAGAGTTAGAATCTGTCTCTTAGACTTGTCTTTTTCTTGCACATCTTGTTTGTAGAGCCTCAGTAGTGTTGGGTTTTTGGACAGTACACCTTGTTTATACAGCACTGTAACTTTTACTCATTGTACTGTGCAGCACTATAGTGTAATGTTCTGTTGGACATTACAACACTACATGTAGGAGTTAGGCAAATAAAAGCAAAGTTACCAAGTTGGAGAATCCTTTGACCATGTCTTTATTCTGAATATTGTAATGTATGTCCTATATATACAGTTTCTCATTTAGTTACTAGCTCATTTAACAACTTAGCCACAGGATCATAACTTGGTCGTTAAATGAGGAATGTCTTTACCAATAAATACCATATTCTTCTTTGCTGTTTGATAATCCCTACAAGTTTCTATATGTTTTTCTATTCTATAAGAGCAATATATAAATGGGGGGGTTTACTGGTACATGGTAGTTTGAAGTAAATAAATGGAATAATTATTTTAATTATCAGTGTATCACCAGGGGCTGATATTGATTGCTAACTATAACAGAAAATTGAGGAAAAGTTATTGATTACGAATACATGGTTGTAATACATACTTTGGCAAACTTGGGTATGAGAGATGTAAATGTTACATGAAAGCAATGTCTGTTGAGAAAGGTATTCTCCTCTGGCCATATAAAATACCTCTAAGAGAAACCTACAATTGTAAGAGTGTCAGAGAGAAAAAACTTAGGGAAATCCAAGTTTTTTCTTTTTAATGCTACAGTAGCACTTCACACAGTGCCATATTTAGTCCTTAAACTTCTTTGTCATTTTTAGAATAAGATTTCAGATTTTTATCTTTTTGAGACAGAGACTCACTAAGTAGTTCAAACTGGCCTTGAGCTCACTTTGTAGCCTAACCTGGTCTCAAACTCCCAGTGACACTCTTGCCTCAGCCCTCCCAAGTGCTGGGATTACAGGCGTGCACCACCACACCTGGCTCAGAATCTTTTTTTAAAGAGATACTTATTTGAGCTTTTGAAAAGGGATTGGAATATCCTGGACTTATTTTTTTTTAATGATCTTTTTACTGCTTTCATTGTGCTTGCATATGCATACTTGTAAATTATAACTTCAAGAGTGATGTGAGGCATATGCCATCATTTTTGGTTTTTACATCCCCACTTAACCTGAAGAAATGACTTATTCTTGGAATACAAGCTTGCTAGTACATAGTACTGAAGTGAGTGTGGACTCAAGATTCCATGAAAGTCAACCAGCTCTTCTGTTAGCTAGCAGTTAGCAAGATAATTCAACTATTAACATACATTCCATTACCTCTGAAATTGAATAGTAACATCCTGAAATTGTGAAAATGGAATAATTACTTTTGATATAATTTTGTCATTAGAAGTTAAGGTGTAGTTTGTTTCTGCTGTTAGTGGGTGAGCTGGATGAATTCCCCTGTGTCCTAAGATTTTAAGATTGTTAGTTTTATTTAATCCTTACAAACTAAAAATTATTTTAAAATATAACTGATTTTACTCTGTCAGAGGATTGTACTCTGTCAGAGGGAATGGCTTTTCATCTGTTATTAAAATCACTCTTTAGTAATTATTCCAAATTTAGTTATCTTATGACCTAATAGTATAGGGCAATTTGGGGAGGGGAGGCAATGGTGGGGAGTAAACCCAGGATCTTTGCACTTAACTACATCCTCAATCTTCCTATTATTTTGAGACAGTTTTTACTAACCAACCTGTCTGAGCCCAAACTCTTTTCTCAGTCTCCACAGAAACTAAAAGTTACAGATATACACCTGGCAAAAAAGACAGTGGTCTTTTTGTATTATATCATCAAAGGGTTTCTTCAAATACCACTGGGTTGTTAATTACTTGTTATTACGTGTAAACCTTTCTGGTGTTTTGAAATTTTTGAACTAGTATGGTGTGTTTCTTACGTAATAGAATCTCTTTGCATTGGCTGGTGATGAAGAACCAGAGGTACGGAAAAATGTGTGCAGAGCACTTGTGATGTTGCTTGAAGTTCGAATGGATCGCCTGCTTCCTCACATGCATAATATAGTTGAGGTAACAAGCAGTTTAAATATTCTTCTTTACCTATCTTCCAAGAGCAGTATTGGGCACAAAATGTATAATGTAAAGCTATAACTTTCTAATTTATATGACATACTGCAGGAGTTATAATTATCTTAAAAGTATAAATTGATTTTTTTAAAATGAGATGTAAGATTATAGCAAGAAGCTATTTAAAGGAATAGATATCTCTAAGGAGCAGGTTAATTTTAACTGAGACAATGAGGAAATATTTAGATTATTGCATTATGAGTATTATCTTGTTGCAAGTGCTTTCGTATGGTATCTACCTCCCAACTTTTACTTATAAAGTTCCATATTTTACTTAGAGAGGGTTTAAGATGTGCAGCAGTTTCTCAGACATTAGGAAAGACAGTTGTAGAGATAAAGATTTGTAGCAGCTTAATGATGGTAAATAATGTTTGCCATTCCAGGCCTATTCGATGAAAAAAATCAAGTGGGGTTGGTGGGAAATGTAAGGAAGGTGTTTAGAGTTGATCAAAGTCTAAAATTTTTGGTATTTAGGACATGATATACAGCCGTCACGTTGCCATGTTTTGTTATATGAGATATTTTAGTTTGAAAATCATGAAATACACCTTCACAGAAACAATAACGTGTGTAGTAGATGGACAGTTTTTACTGAACAACATTCCAAATTTAGTTACCTGCAAGATTTTTTTTTTTTTAAGTTCAAAAACCTCTATTGAAGATGGTAGTAAAAGGCAAAACCAGAACAAAGTCCTGAATGAGGACTGAGTTTATATTATTTGTGTGCTTTAAATTGATTTAAGAGTAATATTAAGGGTTCTGTTTGCAGTATATGCTACAGAGGACCCAAGACCAGGATGAAAATGTGGCTCTGGAAGCCTGTGAATTTTGGCTCACTTTGGCTGAGCAGCCAATATGCAAAGATGTGCTTGTGAGGCATCTTCCTAAGTAAGTTTTCCTACTTAGAAATACTGCCTTCTTGTTAAACTCAATTTCTTAACAGTTATTCCTTGTATTTATATTTTTATATAGTTTGTTTTATTTTGACTATAGACTGAATGATGCCATTTTGTTTTTGAAAAAAAGTAATTTCACACTTGGGATGATAAGAAATTTCATTCTTACAAGCCCATTTTTAACCCAAAGAATGCTATTAACTCTATTACTTAAAGTAACCTTTTATTTTTTCCTGAAAATAAATGAATACAGGTTCATGGAAAAAAACTTAAATTAGAGGAAATTTAACATTTGCTATGTTCTTACCATCCTGAATAACCATTGTTACTATTTCTGATGTTGTTTTTTAATGTTACTTGTCTGTCACTGAATACTTTGTACCATTTATCTATCTTCTGTTTTGCTCTTTGTATATAAATTTTTTGTTTCACATATGAGAAACCATGATATTTAATCTTATATGTCTGATTTATGTCACTTAACATCATGTTCTCATGTAGTTGTGTCCATTTACCAACAAAAGCCTGAAGTTTGTCTTTGTTTTTATCAGAGTAGTACTCTGTTGTGTGTATACATTTTCCTCATCCACTTATCTGGAATGGAAGTATATGTTGTTTCCAAGGTCTAGCTGTTATAAGTTGTGATGTGATAATCGTAAGTATAGATGTACCCCTGAATTATAGACAAATAAGAGTAAAATAGAAGGAGCAGTAGATAAATAAGAAGTAAGGACAATTTTAAATAATTCCCCAGTGCTATTTCGTTTCATTTGTGCTACTGGTTTTTCTTAGTTTGTTGAAAAGAAACTTCTGTACTGTTTTCTGTTTTTTTGTAAAAGAGAGTCTCTTTGGTCTGTGTCTTGTACTCAGGGAAACTACTTTGAAAATAGTGATAGTGTAATAAGTATTATTATTCTTTAATATTTTATTAGGAAATTTTTATTTTTTTAATGAAATAAAATTGTTAGAAATATTTTCTATGAAATCCCATGTATTCAGAGTGTTTGGAGAAGAATCAGATTTGACAATGTATAATGCGCTTAACACACTCACAATGGGGTCATAATTTATGTATTTTATCACCATATATTTGATCCACCAGTAGCTCAAACTGGTGGGATAGTGTTAATATAGAAACTCAATTGTAGTTACAGTTTTAAACTTTTGATGACACTGTGATGACATTTGTTAGTGCTTTCTTCTATGCTACTGAGGTTTTTTTGAGATTTTTTTTTTCCTATTCATCTATTTTCTGGCTTTTTTATTTATTCTTCATTAAGTTGAAAACTATCTTGTCTAAGCCAGGGCATAGTGTTGCACACCTATAATCCTAGCCCTCCTACACAGGAGGATTGCTACAAACTTGAGGGCTACTTGGACTATACAGTGATTTTAAGGCCAGCCTGAACCACAGAGCAAGACTCTGTTCTCAGAAAACCAAAAAAAGAAAGAAAATTTTCTTGTCCACTTTCAATTCCTGGTTTGTTTGGGTTTTTTTGGAACCTGGAATCCAATGCATTACCTCGCTCTTGCCAGGCAAGCGCTGTGCCACTGAGCTAGATCCCCTGCCCCCAATTCCTGTTGTTGTTGTTTTTAATTTGATATAGTAAATTCAAGGATTATGTCTGTAAAGTGACATATTTCATGTTGTTTTTCTAAGAGCATAATATTTTTCTGTTTGTTAATGTCTCTTAGGGGCTCCGCAATAGCAGTTTAAAGTTTTTTTTTCAGTATCAGTCTTCTACATATAGACCTACAGAGTATGTTCCTAAGTAGTGTTTTTATCTTTTCAATGCTATTGAAATATCTTTTCTAAAATACGTTTTCTGGTTTTTGTCTCACAGCTATTGATTGTTATAGAAAACATATTTCCTTTTGCTTTAAACAATTTTTTATTTCTAGCATTTCTCTCAAGTATGCCATAAAAATACCTATTTCTGTTTCAAAAATGTTTTATGAAGTATGGAATTTGAGTGGGGGTGGGAATGTATGGGTCCCAGCACTGCCAAAATGAAGTGAAAGAACAGAGTCTGAAGTTGGGCACCGAGGTGCACACACACATAACTTCTTCAGTTCTGGAAGGAGAGAGAGGAGTATCTTAAGTTTGGGGCCAGGCTGAGCAGCGTAGGATAACGCTGTCTCACAACGAAAAGGAGCTGGGAATCTAGCTTAGTGTGAAGGCCTTGCATTCAATTCCCTGTCTCACCATAAGAAAAAAATGAAGTTTGAGTGTTATAGAATACCTTCTCATTATCTTTGAAGGGACTGAAAGTGTTAATAGTTTGAGGATCATGTTTGGTGATTTTATTTTTTCCCGAAACTGCCCTGTTTATTTTCAGATTTCTTTTTTTGTATAGAATTGGAAAAGTAATCTCTTAAGATGTGTTCCATGGGGCTGGGGATTTAGCTCAGCGGCATAAAGCGCCTGCCTTGCAAGCAGGTAGTCGTGAGTTCGATCCCCGGTACCGATAAAAATGAAAAAGACAAAAAAAAAAATTAAAAAAAAAAAAAAGATGTGTTCCATTTACTTTTTATTTGTGATTACCTCTTAGGAATTCCTGTATTTGGAATAGATGTACTTTTCCCAATTTAAATGAACTAGATAGGAATATATCAGCTTTCATATATTACTCCCATATGGTAGATGCACCACACAACAGTTACCTACATATTATTCCCTCTGAACAGTCCCTGCACACTGAATGTGTATTTACTCTTTGCTGAACATACCAAGTAGGTTGTCTGGCTTATGTTTGTTTTGCGTTCTTGGGGGTTAAACCTGGCTTTGTGCATACTCTACCACTGAATGACATCCTCAGCCCTTTAGTCTTAGATAGGGTTTCCCAGCCTAGCCTCTGATTTGGTGATCTGCCCTTCTTTAGCCTCCCAAGTAATACCCACCTTTTTTTTTTTTTTTTTTTTTTTATCATAAGTAATTCTGGAGTGAAGGTCTGAAAGTTCTGTGTAAATATTCTAAATTACATTCTAGGAAGTGTATGCCTGATTTAGTATTTGTAGGGTATACTTTTTCTCAGATAAGTAGGATACCTAGTATTCCCATTTGTTTGTACTCAACTAAGTACTTCATCTTTTCTCATTACATCCACATGTATATTCTTCTAGTCAGTCTAGAACTTATTTGGGGTAAACTATAAGGTGATGTGCTAAATGGATTTTTCTTTCTCTTTAGGAAATTTATGTGTTACCCTTTCATCTGTAATTTACATCATTTTATACAACCATATAATTCCAAAAAGCCATAAATATTTTTATTAAACTAGATAGTGAGTTAATGAAAGCCTAATCTATAACATTAGGAAATATTATTTATGAGATTGTAACTACATACATCATACAATCCAAACAATATTTAAACAAGTAGGCATTTAGTAACAGGTTTGCTATGCTTATCGGTACAAATGTTAAATGGCTCAGGGCGCTCATGATTGGGGGTAATTTATCTACCTTGCACTGTTGGGGGGGCTTTTTTAATCTCTCCAGCTGAAAGAGTTCATAACTTACAGAACTACATAATGAGTAAATTGGGAGGAGGCATTCTTCTTCATACTGTTTCGTTAATTTTTGTTTTGTTTTTATTTTCAAGTAAACAAAAACTTTCTGTGTTGCTTAGACTGACATTGGATGCCTCGGTGTCCTAAGTAGCTGGAATCATGGGTACCAAACAGCAAGCACTCTTTACTTCTTAGATGATGCATTGGCAGACTGGGAGACTATCAATATAAGTGTGATACAGAGAGTTAAAGAAAAATGATAAAGAAACTTGCTTTTTCCCTTTTAACTAGATACTTGCTTAGTTTGAGCAAAAAATGTTTGCTTAGGAATTAAAACTGTAAATGAAATCTCTTTAATTCTTAGAAAGCACTGATCTAACAAGGATAGCACTTAGGTTTTGTTAGTGTTTGTTTCTAGGCTATATAGTCTTAGTATACTATTTTGATTATTGGGCATTCAGTAAACTGGTAAAACTCTTGCACCCTTCTACCCTCCTCTACCCCCAATTACTTTGACCTTTTGTTTGGGCTTTTTGAGTCAGGGTCTCACTATGCAGTTCAGTCTGGCCTTAAACTCGCAGCAATCCTTGTGCCTCAGGTTCCCCAAACTTGTGCCTCAATACCATCCACTTTGATTTTTTTTAATCTTTGTTTTCATAGACTAATATTTGACAGGGCTATTGTATGAATAGATAAAACAACACAGTGCCCAACACATATTAAGTACTCAGCAAGCATTTGCTGTATTAATACCATCTCATACTCTTCTATTAAAAACTTTATTTCTGATGACCAGTTGAGACTTCAGGAAACAGCTGCTTGAAAATTAGAAATTGGGTTCAATTACAATGAACTCCTTCTGACTTTATCAGACATAGTTCAGATTGCCACATAGTTGTAGGTAACTCCTATATTTCACTTTCCAACCTTCTGTTTTCATTTGCCAGATTGTCACCCCCTGCCACAGCCAAATCTTAACTGCTTTGTGTTTTCCAGTCTTAGATTCTTTATCTGATAGGTAGTGCAATCTCAAGTGAGCTGTACTAGCAGTAAACTTCTAGCTACCCTACATCTGACTTCTCTACTCTGGGTTTTTTCCCTCCTTTTTTGCTTCTCTAACTAGGCTGATAAATACTATTGGGGAAAGTTACATTGCTTGGGGAATTACTGAATGTAGACACTATGCTCATCAATTTCGAGTGGACACTATACTATCTGGCATTCCTTGTTTCAGGTCAACTTTTATCTGCCAACTGAGAACTGTATCAAACCTTCTGTAAGTCTTGTACAGTTCTCGTGAGTTTTGCTGCTGTGTAGGGAAAACAGATGACCCTTTTGTCCTGCCTCAGAATTTAGAGATAGGTTTTCTTGGGAGTTTTCTTCATCCTAACCAGTCTTTCCACTAGAGATAAAAGTAGCATAATGTTTTTTCTTATCCCCAGGAACCTCAGTCCATTAAGTGGGTATTGTTTCACTGTTGCCCCTTTTTCAAGTGCCATTTAAGCTGCTGCAATTTCCTTTCCTCTTAAAAAAATCCACAGGGTAGTTGAGCTCACTGTTCTTCACTGTTTTAACATGGTTGCTAATTGTTTACTGTCTTGCAGTCTGACATCTGTCCTTCAAATTGTTCACAAAGATCACTAATGATTTATGTGTCTGCGATCCAAATAGACCTACTTTTCCTTAAAATGCCTAAAGCTTATGAAATATGTTTGTGTATATTGTAAATCCTGTTATCTTAGGCTGACTACAATGTTTAACTAGTGTTTGTTTTAGAATTTACAAGGACTTGAGCATGAAGGTTTTGCTGAATTCACATTTGCATCTCACAGCTTACTCCATCATTATCCCTGAAGTTAATAAGGGCTGGCATCCATGAATATGCTCGAAGGCATTGTTACTAGTAGTTGTCTCAGTAGTTTTATTTGTATACACAAGGCTGTTAAAACTTAATTCTGTTGAGATCGTTGGATCTTTGTTTCATAAATTGATTTCTTTATAGGTTGATTCCTGTGTTAGTGAATGGCATGAAGTACTCAGATATAGATATTATCCTGCTTAAGGTAAGTAAACCTTGCTGATGGATAAGGAATGTGATTTTTGTGTTCATAAATCTTCACATTTGGTCAATAGAACATTTTTATAGGTTTAACCTTACGTAAATAGGCTTCCTGTTATACAGTAGGCTGTAATACTTCAAGGAGAGAACAAACATAATGAATTTGGAATTTATTTGAAATTATACTTTCTAAATATGCTAATCTGAGTTTAATTCAGCTACATTTAGATTATATGAGCTGATACAATGTAGCGCACCTGAAAGGACCTCATACCCTAACAGTGTTATATCCTGTCCTTCTTTCCACAAGAGAATAGTTCTTAAATGAGGACATGAACTTCACGACACCATCTTTTGGTGCTCTGATTATTTTACTTACACATGTATTATTCCAAAAATTTCCTTTAAAAAAAAAAAAAACAGGGTGATGTGGAGGAGGATGAAACAATTCCTGATAGTGAACAAGATATAAGGCCACGATTTCATCGATCAAGAACAGTGGCTCAGCAGCATGATGAAGATGGAATTGAAGAGGAAGATGATGACGATGATGAAATTGATGATGATGATACAATTTCTGACTGGAATCTAAGTAAGTCAGACTGGGAAAATCACTTGATAAGGTATACAGTTCATCCATTACAGTGTAGGTGCGGCTGGGAATATAGCTCAACAGCATAGCACCTGCCTGGCAAGCAGAAGGTCCTGAGTTCAATTCCTGGCACCAAAAATATATATAGACAGTAGGAGGTTTCACTATTCATGGAGCTATCCAACCATCATTGCGGTCAGTTTTAGGACATATTACCCCCCAAAAGAAACCCCATCCCCATTTTCTCCCAACCCTAGATAACTACAGCACTATGCCTGGCAGCTTGTCCATGTTTTAACATGTACCAATACTTTATTTTTTATTGGTAAGTCATACTCCATTTTATTAGCAGAACAGTTCCCCTTCCCTCATCAGTTGATGGACATTTGTGTTTTTCCTTTTCGGCTGTTGGGAGTATTCATTTAGAATTTTTGTTTAGTTCTTTCAGAGGTGTACCTAGGAATGAGATTGCAGAATCAGTTTAAATGGCTGCACTTGTTGACTTTGTCACCAGCCATGTTGAACAGTTTGTTTTTCCTCTAATTCTTTTTACTGAATCTCTTTCTGAGAGCCATTCTAGTAAATGTGAAAAGATAGCATTGATTTGTGTTTGCCTTTCACTGAGGACCTGCTGAGCCTGAGACTGTTTTGACAGTAAAATCTGGACATCGCCACATGCATTTCCTGTTTTCCTAACCTAAGTTTTTTTAGTACTAATTTGCATGAGAAATGGTCGGCTATTAGATAATTACAAAATAATATTAATTGCTATATTCAAAACTTCAAAAGTATGCTTTTTTAAAAAAAATCACGTCGCCTGTGGTGCTGATCTTCTGACCCACATTCTAACTGGGGAAGAGCTATACTTGTTTGGTTTTCTCTTGATCACTGGTTTTTAAAACTTCACTGCTGCAGCTCAGAGTTTATCAGTCTTAGCACTATTGGTCTGTTGGGCCAAATAATTCATTATTATGGGCCCTACCTTGTATACTATACTATGTTGAACAGGGTTCCTATCTTTTACCCAAAATGCCAGCAGTGGACACAGCTATGGTTCCAGACATTGCCAGACGTCCCTGAGGGAACTGTCACCTCCAGTAAAGAACACTCACTTTTTGTTAGCCCAAGATGTTGTAATTATTAAAGTGGTTAGGGACATACATCACTCGGGAGTGTGTTTTTAGATAGTGTTAATTCTTATTCTGTTGCTTATTTAGTCATAGCTAACATTTTATTTAGGGTGACTAATGTGCTTAGCACTAGACCATGGCCTTTGTGTGTTAAATTTAATCTTTCCAACACCATGGATAGGTAAGGAAGTAGCAAAAAAAATTTTACCCAAGGTTAGCATGGTTAGTACTGACAACCCATCTAGCCTTGGAACCCTGCCTGGTCCCCTTCAGTAGGACAGTTCAATGTCTTCGCTACAGTTGGGAATTTTTTTTTTTTTTTAAATTTATTTGCCTTACATAACAACTATCAGGGTGAGTGGGCAGGCTAAACTGAGATTGTAGCAACAAATACATTCAAGAGGGGGAAATGCCTCTTCACATCCCATGCATCTTTGTATTCTCCCCAAAGTTTTTCTTTATATGTATTTAAAAAAACACATCTGTCTGTTTAACCTGATAGCTGTTATGTAAGGCAAAATCCAATTCTATGTACTTTGCTACTGCTTTTCTGTGTATCATACACCTCGTTCTGTATGGGCACAAAATTTTAAGAATTTTATCCTTGACTCATAATTTGTGATTAACTTTTTGCTATTCTTCAATTGAAAAATTTTGTGTTTTTATTGTTGTTTAGATTGTTATGTAAGTGAAATTTGAGTTGAATTGTATTCTAATGTTAATCATGTATCGAGAATATTTTCTAGCATGTCTTGTGCTTAGTGTGCAGGTGATCACTTTTTTCCAATTTATGTGCCTATTTTATAGCTAAGTAATTACATACTTGATTCTAAATGATGTAGCACAAAGTAGAATTAAGTGTGGGTATGTTGCCAGGATTAATGGTGGACATGACATGGTAGGAACATTAAATCCTATGTAGACAAGAGAATTCTAGTTTGTCTAATCCTATATAGACAGAACAGAATGTCTTCATAGTATAATTTGTCATAAAAAATGTGCCCTTTCTGATGAAATTTTTATGTAACTACCTTCTATTTAATGGATATCTCTTTATCTATAAAGTATTATACATAGAATAAATGTTTAATTATAAAATTATAAGATAATTGAGATTAATGTAACATTTTAAAATTAAATATTTCCTTAGGAAAATGTTCTGCTGCTGCCCTAGATGTTCTCGCAAATGTTTATCGTGATGAGCTTCTGCCACATATTTTACCCCTTCTGAAAGAATTACTTTTCCATCATGAATGGGTTGTTAAAGAATCGGGCATCTTGGTTTTAGGAGCAATTGCTGAAGGTAAGTCCAGCTCAAGTTGCAAAGTCCTTAATAAGTGCTAATAAAGCAGTTGTTACTCAGTAAACAAGATTCATCACTCTGAAATGTATATTGCATTGCTGTCTTGTAATGCCAATGTGGGATAGACAAGACTGTATCCGTATTAACCTTAAAAGGGATGATTGAGTACAAGCACCATCTTACGGTAATTTTTTACTTTGAAATAATTTTACAGTCTTAGGTTTATTTATAGTCTCAGATGTTTTTCTCAAAAGGAACAAAATCCAAGGACTCTGATATTTGAAGCACCCTCATTACCAGAAAAATAGCTTTATGCTTTAGGTAGTAGATTTAGCGTCTTTTGTTTGTTTGTTTGTTTTGGGTACCAGGAATTGAACTCACAACCTCACGCTTTCCAGGCAGGTGCTTATGCCACTGAGCTAAATCCCTGGCCCTATGTAGTAGATTAGGAAACATAAAAAAATTGTCATCAGAGGGTCATTTTTCTGTTTTGGATGTAAACCTCTACAAGAAATTGAAGTATTTTATAGGCATTTGTAAAGGCCATTATTTTTGTAGCAAAGGTAAAATGCAGTCCTGACACTACTGTAAGATATTTATGAGTAGCTAGTGCTAATTTCAGTTATTTTGTAAAATAATTTTGGTGTTGGATATCACATTCATAGTAGTGAAAACATACTGATTTTTTATGGATTTCATGTAACACTTCTCTATTCAAATGAAGTGATTTTGTTGTAACTAAATTTAGCACTTTTTGAAAGGTTTTTGTTGTTCTAGGTTGCATGCAGGGTATGATTCCATACCTGCCTGAGCTCATTCCTCACCTCATTCAGTGCCTCTCTGATAAAAAGGCTCTTGTGCGTTCTATAACATGCTGGACTCTTAGTCGGTATGCACATTGGGTAGTCAGCCAGCCACCGGACACGTACCTAAAGCCATTAATGACAGAGTTGCTGAAGCGCATCCTGGATAGCAACAAGAGAGTACAGGAAGCTGCCTGCAGGTGGGTCAAATTCTTAACACAGTGTTCATTGTGAGAACTGATAATGTAGTAAGAGACTAATTTTCAGCCTTTAGATAGAATATTGATATTCAACTGTTAGCTGAGTATTTTATAGCAAAAAACTTAGAAGCTATACAGTAAGTTTAGTTTTCCTTGCTTTTCCTTGGTGAAGTTTTTATAGGCCTAGCCTGTGGCTTTGGAATTTGCACATTATCATATTTTATATAGTTTGTTTGGTTGAGAGATTTTTATTTACAGCTTTTTACCTGAGTCAAAATGTGGCTCTAAACAGGCTTTGATTTTCTTCAAATGATTCTTTTTTTCATCTTAATGACTGTAAAGATAGAATTATTTTTGACCTTCATTCTTTCAGTGAAGTGATTGTGGTAGGGCTTGTTTTGAAGGAACAACTTGAGTAGATCTACGTGGTAGTTTTCAGAGTACCTATCAACTCCACAGAAAGGTCTGTAGACTTGTGATTGGCGCCTTCACAGCTCTGACTCTGCTTTTATGGATCTGTGGTAGTGGATTTAGGGTTATATCAGATCTACACCTACTTTCAAAGTATGTTCCCTGGGACAAACTTACGTACTAAAAGAGCTTGCCATTTATGTTTAAATCTGTCACTTTTCCCTGTAGGATTGGCTTTTCCACTACTTTTTCAGTAGGAAAAAATAACAAAATAGCAAAGTAAATTTGAGTTAAACCTTACCTAGATTTAAAAGAGTAGTAATGTCTAAAAAGAGTTCTAATTTTGAATGAGCTGGAAATTAAGCTTAATAAGCATGTATATTAACTAATTACAGTAAATCTTTTTTAAAAAGATTTAGGGAGGATAGATTGTTTGATTTCATATAGTTTATTCATTCAGCATTTTTTTTAGCTGTTAATTGTTGTATGTATATGTATATTCAGTGTTGGGCTAACAGTTCCTGCCAACTTGAAACTTAAGGCCAAAAAGAAATACCAAAAAACAATGATACTATTTATGGCAAGGTCTATAAAAATGCATAAAATGATACTATTTATGGCAAGTTCTATAAAAGAAATGCATATTGTTCAAAGTACTAAATATATTAAGGTTTTTCATTAACATGACTTAAGTCTGTCATTTTAGGAAAATTACAGATTAAGTGGCACAGAAGACAGTTTTTTAATCAAGACAAATTTGGGTTTCAAATTGAAGTAATTGCACTGACATGCTGTAGTGTCTTCGTGTCTTGTACATTTGTCCTGTAAATTATACTTAACATACATTGTAGTAACAGATACTCTGTCGTCTTTAATGTATGATGAGTAGTGGAACTGCTGTATTCTTAATCTTTTTTTTTTTGTTAATTGGTACCGGGGATTGAACTCATGACTGCCTGCTTGCAAGGCAGGTGCTTATGCCACTGAGCTAAATCCCCTGCCCCCATGTATTCTTAATCTTAAACACATCCACATTAGAAAGTTTCTGTCAATTTCCTATGAAGAGTAAAATGTAAAGTAAAACGTACAGTTCTAATTCTGATTTAATAAATCACCATAATCTAAGCTTCTTGAAAATGGAGTCATTTCTGTTCCTTGCTATATTCAATACTCAGTACTTTTTAAGCAGTAATCACCAAATATATTGAATGAGTAAATATAAGGCCCAAAACATTTGTAGGTTTCAATTTTACCTTCATAGTTAAGCAGATGCCTATGGGTGACAGTCTTCTTGAAAGGAAGAAGTGAAAAGAAATGTTAAAGAAAATAAAAATAAACATCTGATATAGGGCAAGAAATGCATAAGGTAATGTTTATAGATGCATAATATGTATTATAAGCCACCTATTTAGTTTCCTGTATCTAATGTAGGCTATATGTTTTATGCAACAGTAATATTCTTTTGCTTTAATTTTAGTGCCTTTGCTACCCTAGAGGAGGAGGCTTGTACAGAACTTGTTCCTTATCTTGCGTATATACTTGATACCTTGGTCTTCGCATTTAGTAAATACCAGCATAAGAACCTGCTCATTCTTTATGATGCCATAGGAACATTAGCAGATTCAGTAGGACATCATTTAAACAAACCAGTAAGTGTCTTATGAACAACTATTGTGGGGAAAATACATAGCATAAATAATAGTAGGTTAGCTTTTATTTGAAAATTAGACTTGATGAATTATGAATAGTTTTTAATTAGAGGAAAAGGAATGAAAAAGTTTTTGTACTCTGGATATCTTCATTATTCCAGATGTTTTTGTAGCTACCACTTCATCAACATTGTACCTTTAGATTACATATATTTTGTTTTCTCCTCAGAATGTACACGTATGGGACGTACACTGTATAAAACAATTAGAAATTAGAGTGATAGGTCAGAAATGCTAAATGGTGGTACAGAGTTGTACGCCTTGCCTGAGTATAAAAAGAATATAAAAAGAATGGGTGAAAAGTATCATCAGAAAATGAGCCTTAGTATGTGTTGATTATGGCTTCATAAGTAGTATACTTTAATACAGTGATGCATTTATTGATAAACATTTTATTTCCAAAAAGATATAAAATGACTTTAAAATGAGGTTAAGTTAGAAGATAGTCAAAGGAAAATTGTCACAAAAATTATAGCACAAAGAACAAGTCTTAAAATACCTTCTATAAAGATTTTACACAATTGCTCTAGATGGATTTTAATTTTCATGGCCTGAAAATGAACTTGTTTACATATATCGTGGTGCTTTATATGTTTTTTTTATCATTGTAACTAGGAATATATTCAGATGCTAATGCCTCCACTGATCCAGAAATGGAACATGTTAAAGGATGAAGATAAAGATCTCTTCCCTTTACTTGAGGTATGCTGGGTTGGTAGTACTTAGTTATTTTAACAATATATTTCTTCAGAAGTATAGGTTCTAGCCTAAAATGAGTATATATGATGAGTCATGTTGATAAGTTGATAGCAGACCCATTTCTGTTGAAATACGAAATTAATATATAACTTAATACTTCACTGACAGCACATCAGAGCTAGACATAGTAGTGCACAGCTGTGTACTGTATACCATATTTTAAATTCTTCAATATGTTATCTATCATGTTGTCTTCACATGTATGTGAAGTGGCCTTCGAACTTGGTACCAGTAAAAAAGGACTTCACTTTGTACATTTATTTTCTGATTTGAATTTTTTTCTGTGTACATTTAGGGATTTTTTTAATTTGGGCGGGGTTTTTCTCTTTTTTTCTTTTTTGGTATGGGGAATTGAACTCCTCAATACCTAGCGCAGATGCTGTGCCACTGAGCTATATCTCCAGCCCATTTGTTTGGGGGGTTGTTTATTTGTTGGTGCTGGGACTAGATCTCAGGGATATTTTTTAAACCAAAAAGAAATGTAATATGTTCTTCAATATGAAATGTGGTAACTTACACATACCAATTTGATTTGACACTGATTAGAGCAAGTTCAATCTTTTTCACTCTTTTCCCCTGACTATTTTAAGGGTCATCTACTTTTGCCATGGATTCTTTCATTAGGGTGAGAAGTGAAACCTTCTGTGACTAAGCAGTGGTTAATTTTGGGTCCAACAAAACAATAATCATTATGGCTTGTTTTATCTATGATATCTCTTAGTATGGGAAATGGTTCCAGAGCCCCTCTCCATACAGAATCTGTGGGTGTTCAAGTTTATGTAAACTAACACTGTGTTTGTGTACAACCTGTACATATTCACCTGTATGCCTTAAAGTCTTGTTTAGATCATTTATAATTCCTTCTTCAATGTGAATAGTTGTTGACTACTATTATTTAGGGGAAAATCTGTACATGTTCAATATATGTATTATTTTCAAACAAAATATGTATCATTGACCAAAATGGAACATGAATAAATATATCACTTAAATTTTAAGAAAAAATAGGAACATAGAATGATCTATTCTTCAAGAATAAAACGTAACTGTAGAAACTGTCTTACCTTTTTTCTGAGTAGAGTATCAGCAATGAGTAGACATCCAAAAGAGAGATTTGAAAAGACAAACCTGTTACTATAGACCAGTGGAGTAAGCTTCTAAGTGACTAGGGTCTTTTTGAGTATTTTGAAGCATTTATTATAATCTTAAATATACTCAGAAAATCCAGTGTATGTGCTTCATTCTTTCTAGTGCCTGTCTTCAGTTGCCACAGCCTTGCAGTCTGGCTTCCTTCCATATTGTGAACCTGTGTATCAGCGTTGTGTAAACCTAGTACAGAAGACTCTTGCACAAGCCATGGTATTTTATTTTAAAATATCTTTGCCTTCCTACATCATACACACTTCTAAAGATAATGCATAATGTGTCCATACTCTTTGAGTAACCAATTAAAAGCAAAAATACTGTTTAATTTCAGTTAAACAATGCTCAGCCAGATCAATATGAGGCTCCAGATAAAGATTTTATGATAGTGGCTCTCGATTTGCTCAGCGGCCTGGCTGAAGGACTTGGAGGCAACATTGAACAGCTAGTAGCTCGAAGTAACATCCTAACACTGATGTATCAGTGCATGCAGGTGAGACTTGTATAGTTACAGTAATTTGAAACCTGGTTCTGTGTGTCACTGTGGGATTAACAATCTCTTCTTTTCTTGTAGGATAAAATGCCAGAAGTTCGACAGAGTTCATTTGCCCTGCTAGGTGACCTGACTAAAGCTTGCTTTCAGCATGTAAAGCCTTTTATAGGTATGAATATTTTCTGCTATGGGTGTGGTTTTAAATTATTTTTACATCTGACTTTTATTGTTTTATGAAAAATAGGTTTCATGGAGTCTCAGCATTCATATTTTATAGCTGGTTAAAGTTAAGATGCTCTGATTAAAGCAGGCAGGATGTGGGGAATCCCTGTTGTTTCTGGTGCTCACCATCACTTTTAGCGCCCTTCTGGGGATGCCTATTGCTGGAGGAAATTTGAATGATATCAGCTTAGAGAATAGGATGGGTCTGCCAGGAAAGCCTGGATGTATTGTGTGCAGGTGAACACTTTTAAGAGTAGCATTCTTTTCGGTAGTGCCCCAAGATACTAATTCAGTGGTGCCTCAATTCATAAAATGCTTTTGTTTGGAAATAATTTGGTTTGCAAACAGAAGTAACTGTTGGCAAATTTTTTTCCCCTTTTTGTACCAGGAATCAAACTCAAAGTCTCACTCATGCTTGCCAGGCAGGCACTAATGCACCTGAGCTATATTCCTGGCAAAATTCTGTTTTTGTTTTGAACTCCAAATCAGGTGACAAACAACAACCACTACCACTGCCACCTTTCCCGCACAAACATGGACTTGACCCTCCTTTCCAGAATGAGGAACAGATTAAGTTTGTGAACCCAGGTATCACTATAATCAAGGTTTCTCCTAATATACCAACATCCTTTTTGGGAACTGTAGGAAACTTCAAATACCACTTTTAAAATAAATGATTTGTTTTCTTTTCTAATAGCATAATCTGTATTCTCACCTTAGGTGAAAATAAAAAGTGATTCTTACAATGTCGTAACCCAAATGCTGTTAAACCTATAAGCTAAATGATTTTTCAGTATTTCCCTTCCTATATCTCACCATGTTTGTTGGGAATTTATTTATACTTTACTTAAATCTTTATTTAAAATACTGACATAAATTATTTTCTTTTGACACAGTTGTGCTTTATAGAAAATTATTTATTGAGTTATTATATTATAAGTCTTAACTACCTTAAAAATAAAATGAATTTGTGGGAAGTTGGTGATACATATATTTATTATGTAATTATAGTTTCGGGGGGGTGTTGTTGCTTTTTGTTTTGTTTGAAAGGAATTGTTTAGTTTGGCAGTGTTGGGGATTGAATTCAGGATTTGCAAAGTGTTCACTGACAGAGCTACATACATCTCCAGCTTCCTTGTTTGCCTACCTCTTTCCTTTCCTTTCCTTTCCTTTCCTTCTTTTCTTTTCCTCTTTCTTTCTTTCTTTCTTTCTTTCTTTCTTTCTTTCTTTCTTTCTTTCTTTCTTTCTTTCTCTGTTTCTTTAAGAACTCACTGAGTTGTTTAGACTGACCTCAAGCTTGTGATTCTCCTATCTCATCCTCCAAAGTAGCTGGGGGTATAGGCCTGATATCATTACCACTCCCAACTTACAATTTTTGATTTATTAAACTTATATGAAAAGATTTAAAATTTCAAACATTTTATTCTAAAAAAGTGTTTTAAGGTATAAAAATAGGAAAAAGTACAACATCCTCGTTTTCTAGGTTTAACTATTTGTCAGTATGTTACAAATCACCACGTTTCTCATATACCAATAGCAGTAGACATGAAGTTTCCAGTTATGGTTAAGCTTCTGATATTTCAATATGTATCTCCATATCTCATTTTTACAGTATTTTTTGTTGTTACAAAAATAAAACCAATTTCTGTTCTAGAGATTCTTAGTGTATTTTTCTGATCGTATCTTTTGATGTCATTTAAGCATGTTCTGTGGTCCTTTGTGTGTAATGTGCCTGTCAGTTAACTCTAGAGAGAATGAGGGTTAGTGAGATTCTAGTTTTATTTTTGTTTTCTTAGACATTGATTAGATGGAATCTATGCTTTCTGTAGGAGTTTAAATGGTATTGTGGTGGTTTTAATGCTTTTTGTTTTGTGGCTGTGTGTGTGTGTGTGTTTCTTGTTAATGTTATCAACCATGATAATTATTGTTTAGATTTTTCTTAACTGGGGAAATAGTTTTGCTCTGGGAACATTTGTCAATGTGTAGAGATTTTTTTTTTTAAACATTGGGGAGGCACTAGTGTTCAGTGGGTAGAAACAATGATGTTCAATAGCCTGTAATGCTAGAACTAAATATCCTGTAATGCATCCTTTCAGAAGCCTAATAATCTAATGCATCTTTTTTATAGTGCCACAGTGCCATTAAATTTTAACAAGATTGGGGTGGGGGGTCAAACCATAGCAATCCACTAATTTATTAGGAGTTAAAAATGTATGAGATTCTAATTCTTCATTTAATGGTAAGAATATTGTATTAGATGTTTCTCTTATCAATAAATTGTTACCTTAGGACAAATTATAAAATAGTTGCAGAATAAGTACTTCTTTCTCTTTATTTACCAGTTTTCAAATTATGTTGATTCCTAGCTTCTTCCAAAGATAGCTTTCATGTTTTAGAGTTTAATTTGTGTTTATCTTTCGAATTTATGATACTTAAGTGATCTTACTGCTGACAGTGACAGCTTAATCAAATTAAGTTCAACATCTCTTCTGTTACAACAGTATAATCCAGGTGTATTTTAAATATTTCCTGTCTTATTCTTTTATGAGGCCTTTCACTGAAAGCCCCTTGTCCCTTTCAGTGGAAAGTGACATTTAAAAACCACAATTGGAACACTAGGGTGGATACTGCTATAAGAGCCATAGTCACATTGGGGCTGCAATAAGTGGATCACAGGTTTGAGGCTGGAATGGGCAGTTGAGACACTGTCTCAGTGAAATGTGTTAAAAGGGCTGGGGATATATAGCTCACTTGTAGAGTGCTGTGTTCACTCCTTCATACCATGCCAAAACAGAAAGTCTAAAGTCACTCTATGAAAAACTGGCGTGGAAGATAATCACCTTTTATTGTATCTGGTGATTTATTTGTTTATTTTTTGATTCTGAAGATTGAACCTAGGGCCTCACACACACATACTAGGCAAGGGCTGTACCACCAAGTTACAACTCTCCCCACTTTTAAATTTTTTGTTATTTTGAGATAGGATTTTGCTAAGGTGCCTACATTAGCCCTTGAACTTGGAGTCTTCCTGCCTTAGCCTTCTGAGCAGTTAAGCTTTCTAGCATGCTGCCTTTCCTGGCCTGTTTTTCCCACTTCTGATTTGAATTTTCTCAGTTAAGTGATGAGACTGCGCTGACCATTTCTTTCTAAAGATAGCTAAAACATACCCAAATCAATCTTTCCTTATCTACTTCATATGAAACTTCTTTGGCCAGACATTACCTTCTTGGGTTTCTTAGAATAAAGGAGATACTACCAATCCTTTTAAAAGGTATTTTTTAATGTAATTATATATTTTTCATGATTCTGTAACTAACGTTGCAGTGTTTGGTAAAATTTTCTTTGAAGTGAAATAGAAACTGCTGTTGAGAAGTTTACCACATAGTTTTAACTTTTTGTTTTTTCCCCTAGCTGATTTTATGCCAATATTGGGAACCAATCTAAATCCAGAGTTCATTTCAGTCTGCAACAATGCCACCTGGGCAATTGGAGAAATTTCCATTCAAATGGGTAAGATTTGTTTTCCTCCCTGGTGAAGTGTAGAGCCTTGATATCACAGTTTTTTCATTTATTTTCATCTATGTACATGATGTGTCACTGTGAATAAGGGAATAAAAATGTTTTATGCCCATATTTTGACATTCAATTTTTTCTTTCCTGTTTTCTCTTTTTGTGGAATGATCTAGGTATAGAGATGCAGCCTTATATTCCTATGGTGTTGCACCAGCTTGTAGAAATCATAAACAGACCCAACGCACCAAAGACGTTGTTAGAGAATACAGGTACCATATGTCTGAAATGTTACGGTGATCAGAAAATTAGTTATCTTTAATTTTAAATTAAGATGCGTAGAGAAACCAAAGCAAAGCTAATTTAAAAACTCATAAGCATCTGTTTTGGGTTCTCACTAGTGAAATGCATTATTTTAGCTACTTTCCATGACCAGTTTTATTAAACATTTGGAAAACTCCTTTTTCCACATTCTCATGTTATAATATTTGTTAAAGTAGATTCCAGCTAAGATAACCACTGAAACATAGAAATTTTGCTTTTTAAATTGAGAGAACAAGTAGATGAGAAATAGTGATTTTTTTTTTTTTTTTTTTTTTTTTAATCCTTGAAATTTAGGGGTGAGCCAGGCATCTTGAAATATGGTCCATGCCTATAATCCCAGTGCTCTGGGAGACTTGAGGCAGGAGGATCACAAGTTCTTACCCAGCCGGGGCAACTTAGCAATCTGGGCCCTGAGTTATTCAGTCTCTGGTGCTCCCCTCTCCCTAAAAATAGATTGCAGTTTAGTGACTAAATTGCTTAATAATGGCACATATTTTGTATTCCATTATAAATTTTTCCTTAATTGGGAATTTAACCATTCCCTGCAGAATTTTTTGATTTTTTATTTAGGAGGCTTGTTTCTCTTTTGCATTTATAGAGGGCATGTTTATATTAAAGAATACCTTCCATACTATAGAACACATGTAGGAGTGATTGAATCTTTTCTTCCCATTCTCTCTGTATTGCTAATAATGTGTTCTTATTGTTTGTTTTTGTTAAAGCACATTCCTTCGTGTATTTACTAAGATAATTCTAGTAATTCATAGCAATAAGGATCCAACCAAAGTACTGAACAAAGGTTAAAATGAGGTTTTCCAAATAAGAAAGTTCACACTCAAGGGTATTTTATTTTGATTTTTAAATTTTAATTTGTATTTTTTCTTAATGGATTAAAATTGATAATGTTTATTGGTATGGAAGGAAATCTTTTCAATTATGAAAGTTATCTGGCTGTTTAGGTGTATGGGTACTGTTTACTTCACAAAGTGAATTAGATTTTCTTGCTAAAAAGTATAAAAGTCATATATAGAGGATAGTTATGAAATCTTACAATATTTTGTCTCCTTAGAACACAGTACCTATACATAACATTCAGATTTGAAACATTTGCCATTGTAAAATTATTGTTGAGCCTAAAGAAAACTTCCTGTTTATTTTTAAATGTGAATGCATAGCTACAAATAAATGTTGAGTGTAATGTATATTAAAGTTTCTTGTGGGATATCAGCTTGTGTAGTTCCTTTAACAGATTGGCTTAATTTATAAGATTATACTCCAAGCATAACTATATCCTAAGTAAATCATAAAACAGTTGTTAATAGTCTATAAGTTGATGGGCTGAATCAGACTGATAAATGCACTTGGGTTCATTAGATTACTTTTACCACAAGTGTCTGCATATAATATTTTTTTCTGTATTCCTTACCCCCATAAATGGGGTTCTTTAATTGTTAAAGTACTGAGCATAGATTTTAGCAGCTCAATTACCATTAACTTAATTTTTTTGTAAAGCCAATTCCTTAGTATGTCGTTACTTGCTTTTTTTCCAATTAGTATATCCTACACTGAACTTTTTTCAATGGACCATCATCTGCTTTATCGCATGTTTCATTGAATTGTTCATTACTTGCCTGTTAATGAGAATGTTGCATAGTTTGTGTCTTTTGAACATAGGTTTTCTTTCTCTGGCTTCATATGAATCTGCTGAATTTTAGTATTATCTGTGTAGTTTGCTTCAAGTAATCCTTAAACATTTTTCTTTATCCCCCACCCTTTTTTTATGAAAGATTAAATCCGTAAGTTTTTGAGAGAACACCATTAAAGCACTTCATGGTTTGTTTTGTTTGTATTTTTGCCTGTTGTGTATAAATGTATTTATATGTATGTACTTCTGAATTGCAGAATGCAGTTCTGAGTTGTACTTGTTTTTAGCTCTTTGTAAGTCTAAGGAATTCTTAAATTTTGATGGTGAATATTAGTCCACTTCAAAAATTTTTCAAATATTAACATGTAATCAGTATAATGTATTACCTATTTCATGTTATACTTTATAATAAAGATAATTCTTTCCTGTGGTCCACATATCACATGTCATCAGAGTGGACTGTCTAAATTTCCTTTATTAGTATTTTGTTTCAGATATGGTTTGAAATTAGTGGACTATCATCTGAGTTATGAAGTTTGTTGGAATGGGATTTGACATAGCATAACAGTTTTCCAGTCCATTCAGTGAGTGTCATAATGCTTGAAATCTGTCAGGTTGATTTGAAATCAGGAAACTAAGTTCCTCTGGTTTGTTTGGAAAGTATCAGTTCAAAATGTTGAATTATCAAAATTTGGATTAATTTCCCAGATAATTTTCTAAGAATGAAGTCACTTAAAAAAGAGGTATAATCTGCCAAGTGTAGTAATACGCCCCTATAAATCCCACCACTTGGGAAGCTGAGGCAAGAGGATTGCCTTGAGTTCAAGGCCATCCTGGGCTACATAGTGAGTTCAAGGTTAGCCTGAACTACATAGCAAAATGTTGTCTCAAAAAAAAAAAAGGTATAGGAAAATGAAAAATAAACTCGAACGATTGTAGGTATAAATGGAATGTGTTTAAGTAGCCAGTTCATAAGTAGAATCACATTTATTAATAATTCTTCAGATGAAAACTATAGACATCAAATTAAATTCTGAAATTTCAGCTGGCTTTGAATGAAGATTCTCTAAATCCACTCATTTTACTTGCTTTTTATTAACGATACTGATATTTGATTGAGCAAGGAAAGCAATTTATCATGGTTTTTGGTGTTCTCTCAATCTTTAGAATTTTTTTAATTCCTTTTGTTTTTCTTTTTCCAAGAGTATGCCATATATGTTGCTGCCCCTTATTTTAGGGGGTGGTAATAAACAGCACTGGTGAAATCTTATGTTTATTATCATACACAAATTCTGTTGGTTTCTGTTTCTGAGTTATTTGTTGTTTTTTCTTTATTTTTTCTCCTTCCCCCTCATTTGCTCATGTCTTGGTTGGCGTTTGGTGGTGTATAACCGTGATTGCGTTACCTTAGCAATAACAATTGGTCGTCTTGGTTACGTTTGTCCTCAAGAGGTGGCCCCCATGCTACAGCAGTTTATAAGACCCTGGTGTGTATTATTCAATCTTTTTTTTTAATTCATTTTTCTTCACTCTTTCTTTCTCTATCTCACTTTTAGATATATTTTCAGTTCATTACAAAAATCACAATCCTTAATCATTGCCAACCATGTGACTAATCTTGTCCTATCAGGTTCGTGAGATTTTTCAGTAGCATCGTCATGTATATTTATTTTATGTTGTGGCTAACGACTAATTGATGCATGGGATAAGATTGTCACATGCTTGCTGTGTTAAAAAGCTTGATTATACATTAAAAAGCATTTAAATATCCACCAGAAAAATTAAGATGCATGCAATTTTTATAAATTTAGGTTTTTGCATTACGTTTCTTTTTTAGAATTAATTTGGAAACTTGGATTGCATTAAAGACATATTTAAATTTGTTATGTATAATATCTTATTTGCTTGTTAATGTAAAAGTTAAACATCTACACCATAAGTTGTATAGTAATAGTTTATATTGTTGCAGTATATCCTACTATATTCTGCTTCTTTTAATTGATAAACCTTTAATTCAGATCATTTTTAGTAGTGTTTAATGGAATATATATAAGTCATAATACAGTTTTTAAAATTAATTTGCTAATTCTTCTTGGTTCAGGCTCAGTTTAAATGAGACAAATCAGCTGTCCATTTTTTCATAGATATATAGTCTATTAAGATAAGTGTGAATTTCACTGCTTGTGCTGTATTATGATAAGTTGGGCCCAACATATGAGAAAGTAAAAGTAAGACTTTCTGAAAACTGGTTTAATATATCTATTTCCTATATTGTGCTTATTCCATTAAATACTGTCTACTAGCATTGTGATTGAGCCTGTTTTTTACTTAGATGCTGAGTTAACTTCTATAATTCAATAGGTGTACCTCCCTGAGAAACATAAGAGACAATGAGGAAAAAGATTCAGCATTTCGTGGGATTTGTACCATGATCAGTGTGAATCCCAGTGGCGTAATCCAAGTAAGGTGTTTGTAAGATTTGTTTTTAACTAATGTTGTTGTGAATAATAAAATTCTAAAGGAAATATTTCAGGACTTTAAACTATGAAAACAGTAACCTTCAAATATATTAAATCAGACATTTAAAATGTTGTGTATTTCTTAATTATTTTGAAGTGATAGTGCCTGCTTATCAATAAATAAGATAGCCAGAGCTTTTTATTTACATGCAGACTGTATTTGTTTACTTTATGCATCATGCCTCAAATCAAGGAACATCAATTTGCTGAGTTTGACAGTATATACACTTACGAGAGTGACCAGGTACCATCCTTCTGTTACTTTTGCAGAAATCAAATATTGAAATATAAATAGATCACTAAATCAGCCATTGAAATTGCTTTAGTCTTGAGGTTTTATCATTTATTCCTCTTTATTTCCAAATTCATGTTATATTTAGGCATTCTAGTTACTTGACAACAGTGTAGCCATGAGTCAAGTCAGCTGTCAGTTTACGAGAGACATAAAGTAGAACATGTTGAAATGCACCACATATGTCCAAACTCAAAAGGACCCTAGGCTTAACAACACATTTAGGGACAGGGATACAGCTCAGCAAAATACTGCCTGCCTGACAAGTACAATGTTGTGGGCTCTATTCCCAGTACAAAAAACAAAAAAAACAAAAAAAACAAAAAACTCACCTTCTTCAGTAGATACACTCTAAAAAAGGGAAAGTAAAAGGAAAACCCAGAACATCCAAGGCACATGAAGTGAATTAAGAAATGTATGAAGTTATAGGAAAAAATTTCTATATTTATAGATGTCCACTTGAATAAAACTATAAAATGTTTTTATAGCAGTAACTTTTTTGCAATTATTTTTAAGAAAACTTCTTTTTCAAAACAATGGTACTTTGAATATTTTAAATTGGAATCTTGATAATTCTTACATTGTAGGTTTTATTGACTTGTTTTTAGAAACAAATTAGCTTACAAAATTAAAGTTGATGGCAATAGGCATGAAAAAGTATACAAATTAGAACTGAAAAAGAATGTTTTGAGTAATTTCGTATTGCTAAAACATTAATTAATATGCGACAAACCAGTACCAATGTAAAAGAAAGATCATAGTTGCAAAATAATTTAGCATCAACTTTCTATTCAATACTGGAAAATTTGGTTTCATTTCGTAGGTATTTTAAAGGTATCTAATATGATACAGGCCATATTTGCTTTTTGAGACAGGGTTTTGCTGTGGAGTTCAAGCTGGTCTTGAACTCAGCGTGATCCTCCTGCCTTAGCCTCCCAAGTACTGAAAATACAGGGCTGCACCACCATGCCCACCAACTTTTTGAATTACGATTTTTTAAATCACAAGTGTTGTGTCCATCAGTGAAGAGTTTGGCACACCAAGTCATGCCATACCACTGCTCTGCTGAAAACTGCTCCCAGCAATCCAAACCTGGCGCCAAAAAAGAACTTTCAAAAGGCGAAGTTTATTACCACAAAAGACAGTTTATTTGGAGGGAAAGATGGGGGAAAAGAGAGGATGGACAGCTCCTGTGAGGTAGTAGGGGCTTCAGAGCTAACAGCCCAGGTGCTCTTATCCCTGGCTCCCTTTGTTGCACATCAGTGTCTTTCCCCTCCCCAGGGAGCACTTGTGGATATCTGATCTGTTCTCTGGACTGTATGATCCTAACCTAGGCTTTCTGGCCTTTTGTTTTCTTTCTATCTCTATAATAAGTGAAGGGGGAGAGTCTGTTAAGAAGGCAGCTTAATGATTACTACATAAAGGGGACATGTGTACATGCATATCTGGTGCCGTAGTATATTGATGTTAGTGAAAGTGTACATACATGTATATATGAGCAGAGGGGTGTGTGTGTGTGTTTTACATATTAAATTATTAAAGAGTCCTTAGGTAGCTGTCTCTTACTACCCATTCGTTTGGGGAGCAGGTGGCTTTCCTGGTAATCATACTGCCTGGCATCTCTCTCAAGTCTAGCTGGCTTTTCCCTCTTTTGTCTTTCTAGTTACTGTAACTGCCGGGTCTATCTGTGAGGACAGAAACTGCTTGTAAGAATTTCTCTATTGACCTTAATGTGCTCAATGAGATCTTTATCTCATTTTCCTACTTATGGGACCCCTCTCCCTACACAAATATTAGGTGTTTTAAATCTTCAGCATCAAGTTCGAAAATGAAAATGTGGGAAATCCTAACTTGAATAAACCGCTTTGAAGCACTTGATGTATAAAAGCATTGGCCATGTGTGGAATTGCTAATTATTTCAGGACAAGTCAAGAGTGAAACAATAGCACAGCAAAGGTTGCTCAGGAATGCAGCACCTGTATAGCAAGCGCAAGGCCCTGGGTTCAATTCCTGGTACAAAAAAAGGAAGGAAAACCCAATATTTCCATAAAATACTTAAAATCTGATTATCTTTTAAGTAATTTTCTGAGAGTTGGGTTTTTCACTTTTATTTGTATGAGATATTTATAAAACTACATAATTAGTCTTTTATAGCTTTTGGTCATTTAAATTACATGGAGCTTAAAATGTAGAACTATTCCTATATTTTCTAATCAAGCTCTTAGTAAAGATAGGTTTTATGTTGTTCCTAGGCCAATGTGAACTGTGCTGTTACTGGACTTGAGATTCTTTAATGCAATAAATTAAATATTTTATTGGTGTTGATTTGATGCTTTCAGGCAATTACTGATGCTAAATATTTACTCAGTATTTACTCGTTTATTTTCTTTGTGATATGCAGTAGGACATTAAATTAAATGTTTCTTTCGTGTTACAGGATTTTATATTTTTTTGTGATGCTGTTGCATCATGGATTAACCCAAAAGATGATCTCAGAGACATGTTCTGTAAGGTAACTACTACGTCTTTATGATGCATCTTGGGACTGAAAATCCTAATTTAAAGGTTTGAATTATTTTTAATTTAATTTAGACTTTGGCTCCTTAAGCCAGTATTGGTGAGCTAAATGATCTCTGTTCTTAGGAAAGAACTTGGCTCAGTTTTGTTTTAAAGAGGTACAGCAGTGATGCTGTCAGAAAACCATGCAGTGTGAAAAGTCTTCTTTGGGCAGTACCGCTGACTCAACGTGGTTCTCATGCTCCACTTACATAAGATAGAATGTGTTCTCCAAGAGGGGTAGTTGAGATTTGGAACAGAAGATAAAAATGTTGAACACAGTAAATCTAAGTGACTGCCACAAGGATTTGAGTCTCTCTATAGTCTTTGCTTTATTGGTACTTCTTTTTTTATTAATTCTAGTTAATACATAGCTATAACATACGCAGTTACACATTTGAATCACCTAATATTTGAAACTGTTGAGCTATGTTTGTAAACATGAACCCAACAATAGAATTGATGGTGTTTAATATCAGAAGCAATACAACTTTGAGTTTTTCTGTTCTATCATTGATAAACTAATGTTTTCACTCTTTGCAGATCCTTCATGGATTTAAAAATCAAGTTGGGGATGAAAATTGGAGGCGTTTCTCTGACCAGTTTCCTCTTCCCTTAAAAGAGCGTCTTGCAGCTTTTTATGGTGTTTAATGTAATACACTTAGGCTGCAGTCCCAAAATTAGGGGTAAGTTTTAAGAAGTTTGAAAATTTTCTTTCTTTTCTTTTTTTCTTTTTTTTTTTTGGACCAGGGATCAAACTCATGACCTAGCACTTCCCAGGCAGGTGCTTATGCCACTGAGCTGAATCCCTGGCCCAAAGTTTGAGAATTTTTATAATGAAGTGATTTAGTTAGGACTTTAGTCTAAAACAGTAAAATAGGACAAACAATTCTATTCTGAAGGAGTTGGCTAAAACAGTTTCATACTGTGGTATAGTTGGGCTTTAAAATTACTTAAGTGAAGGCTAGGGAATTTTTTTTAAAAATTCCATTATGTGAAGTAAAACAGATGGCTTCCCCTTTGAGTCCTAAATAAAAATAAACCAGGATTGGGATATTACTTTGTTTCAGCTTTTATAGGGGGTGTGTTAAAGAGTTTTGCCCTACATGGAGATATCATCATTCATAGTGCTGGGATAAAAATGATTCTCTTATATAATAAAGACTTGTGTGTTGTGAGCTTTAGGAAAAACCCATTTAGAATACAAACTGCTGTGACTCAGTAGATTCACTTACCACATATTCTTCAGCATTGAGCACTGCCGTGTGCCCAGCACTGTGTTTTAAAAATGATGACTAGAAATGCAGTTTTGATTTGGAGCAATAGAGGATTGAGTCCACTTGGACCCTTGTTCCTTGAGCTTCACTATTCTTAAATGAGATTAATAATTCTGATGTCTTCAACTTCAGTTCTCTCATTTCAGTTATGCTGATTAAACTCCAATAGTGCACAGTGTCAAAGCCAGGTACATTGTCTAGCACCTTGCATTGTCTCAGAAAATACCAGAAACATGGTTAGTATAGTGAACCAAGATTTGCAGTTTTTATGCTGGTTTTATGATCAGGGCTTTAGACTTCCTTAACTGGAAGGCAGAGGCTATAATTGAATTTGTATGTAGAAGATGTGCAGCAAATTGAATTATACTTTACCTCAGAGCTTTTCTTAGTCACTTGCTGTTTATTTAATTTCTGCTAGATTTTAATCCTGGAAATACTTCATTGCCTAGTTTTCTAACCTAAAAGGCAGTGGAAAAGAATTTACAGCCTCAAAAATATCACAGGTCCTTTGTATGTGTATTCTTTCACCTTGGTCTTGAGTTCTTAGAGCTGTTTTATGACTTGAGCATTTTGAAAAAGTGCTTGAGTCACTTTGGTAAATAAAGAGACGGAAGTAGGTAAGAGTGATTCAGTTTTTAAGAGTTCAACAGTAAGCTGCTAAGTCTTCGGCATTTTTAAATTTGTTAACCTCTGTAGTCCCATCAGCAATTATGAGTTAACTTTAGGGATCACTGTTGTGAGGCAAGATGTGAAATAATGTTCAGTTTTCTAACACTGTATCAGTACTTTTTATTCCCGCCTCTTTCTCCTGCTCTTCCACTCTTTTTAGAGATACGGAAAAGGGGATTGCTTGTCCTCTACCCTCTGTGAATTTATGTCAACATTCACAAATGTTTCCCCTTTGGCGTGAGTGGATATAGTAGGGTTTTGTTGTAGAAGAATCACTATCAGGTAATACTGTAATTAGGCAAGCCATTAATCTTATCTGATTTGTTAGTGTCCTTCCCATTAAAATTGTTGGAATTGAAAAAAAGTATCAGAAAAATTAAGTGGGCCTTGAGCATTAGAAATAACCAAAGAGGGCCGAGGATTTAGCTCAGTGGCACAGTGCTTGCCTGGTAAGCATGAGGTCCTGAGTTCAATTCCCAGGACAAAAAAAAAACCCCAAGAAATAACCAAATGAAATAGAGGTGGAAGAATAGCTAATTGAGAGGGTGACTGTTAAAATTTACCTTTGGATACTCACTTAAACCTAGAGTAGTAATATACACGGTGCTTACACTAAAACATCAGATAGCTAAAAATAAAAAATGTGTTTTTGGCTTTTGATAGATTGAAATTTCCTTAATATTTGGTATCCTAGAAAAGTGGTCAGTTTTAACTTTCTGGAAGGAAAGTAATTGTCCTAAAGAAAGTGCTATTTAATTTTGAAGAAATTAAAGTGAGATAAGAAATAAACAATTCTTACGGGGGCTCATTTTTCAAAAAGGTATGAAGAATTAGACTGATGATGTTGTATAAGGCATATTTCAATGGCACAGAGCACTACACACCCAGCTATTTAGGGCCTTACCTCAGCTTGATTATTCAGCTGCAGAAAAGGGAAATGCTGTGGTTGTAACCATTAAAATCTTAGTTTGTCTAATTACCTATGTTTTATAGATAAAAATAGCATTGTTATTTAAATTTGTGCTCCACTGTCTCTGAAAGAAGCAGTTGTTCAAGATGCAATTGTTTTTGTTCTTTTTCTTCCAGGTCCTCCAGTCTTGGAGACTATGAGGGAGCCTCTGTACCCAGGGAAAAAGTTACCCTTTACAGGGGGGAAGGGTAAACCAGTAGGGAATACAGTACAATCCCAACCCTACTGGGAGGGGCGGGAGGGAGGTGTTGCCGTCACTGTATTAAGTCGATGTTGGGAAACGTTTTAACATCTGGAGCCTTTGTGGGTGGAAATCTGTCTCCAGTTACAACTCCGCACTGGATGTGAAGAAGCAAAAAAAAAAAAAAAAAAAAAAAAAAAAAATCAGTCTACTCACAAAACAGTACATTCTGGAATATTATGGGGAATTGTACCAAAACAACCATATAAATGATGCATAGGGAAAAGAAAGCGGAAAAATTCTGTAGCGCACAATAAGAGACCTAAGAATGGGGGTTATATTCAGTAAAAGAAGCTTTTTTCTTTTTAATTTAAAAGTTTTTATATAAATGTTCCCACATTATGGGGCCGTGTTTTGCATGCTGATGAAGAGCTACACAAAGCTAATACAGTTAGAATCAGCTTGCCTTCCCATAGTAGAAGCAGATTCTTGGGAATTAAAATTTAAGGTACCCCCCAGAAAATGTTGGAAATAAAACAAAATAAGTTTGAACCAACGAAGCACCCTGTGAAATGCCAAATGAGTCACTCCTTTTACCTTTTTCGGGTGGGCAGGGAGGGAGGAATAGGTAGGGTGGGCATATCAAACTAAAGTTGGCATCTTAATTTTACATTAAACATTAGTGAATATAATTTTATGGTGTACTTCATTAGATTTAATTTCTAGGCCAACACCTTGTTTTAAAGTCCAGTTTAAGGTTCAGGCATGCATTCTGGCTCCTAGTGATTGAAAGTCATTTAAATTAGTGGGAAAGTAGCATGCTCGCATCACATAGAGTGAGGTTGGTATTCATTTACCTATGTTGCGCCAGTTCGTCTTGCAGTTTACCAATTCAGTATAGCCCTGCATTTAAAATTCCTTTTTTTAAGGTTCGTGGATTTTATTTTTATTAAGAATATAGATATATAAAGTACTGTAGTTTACAGCTAGGCCTTGAAATATCTTTTTAGGATCTGTTAGGAATAAGATTGACATTGTATTGTGTGTAACCTGCACAATGTGGAAAGCTGATATACCTGTGCAAAATCTTTGCCTCTGTGCTGTCAGTGTGATGTGCTTTCTGCATGGTTATATACTACTAGTGACTTTATCAAAACTTCTAAAATTTAAATTACATGGTAAAAAGATCTGTAAAAGGCTGCGTGTTGGCACATAAAGACAATTATAGAGATTGAAAATGATTGCTATAATTCATTGTTTATTCCCACTCAGCATATTGCCTTCTAAACTTTACTTTTTTTGTTCAAAGCATGATCTTAAAGATATGTTTAAGTTAATGGATGTAATGCAGGGTTCCTACACTATTGGCGCATGTTGGTGGCCCTTTGTGCCCTAGATATAATGCACACAGGGTGCAAGTTTAAATCTGCAGAGTGAAAGTTGGTTTGGATCCTCTTCATTTCATTTGTTTGGCTTTTCTGTTATTTTTCTCTACTTACCATGTATTCCTGTGAATAAATCCTTGTTAAGTTAATCCTTTACTTTTCCTTTCATGTGTATTTTCTTACATACTGTGAATGTGAAGACCTAACTGGTACACTTGATCCTGTGTCCATATGAAAGTGCAAGTCTTTATTAATTTGGATTGCCTAAACAGTGTATCCCATGATGATGAAGGAAAATGGAGAGATTTTTGTTTTTAACTCTGCTGGTCAGAGATGAAGCCACGCCTTTCCATTTTTCAATGCTGCATATTTAATCTGCAACAAAAATGTTAAGCCATAACAGCCTTTTTATATTTTAGTTTGTCACCTTTGCATTGCAGAATAAATACTGAATAACCATTTTTATAAGCAGTTGCTCCTCTTTGCATGGTTCTATTCTCTAAAAATGTTGAATGATACAGCCATTGCACTGACATTTGAGCTGTGTGCGTGTGAATTTATAAATACCGTTTCAAAAAATTTCTGATGCATGGTAGCATGCAGAAAGGTTTTTGTTATTGTGTATGTGTGTGTTTTTTAACATGTTCTTTCACCTTTTCTCTACTTTGGCTTTGCAAATTTCAGCCTGTTGAACCTGAGATCATTTTATAATGCCCATTTTTAAAAGAATTATTACAATTTAGATTCAAAGGTTTATGGCATTTTGCTTTCTAGTTTAGTTGTTTTATTTAGAGCTCAGAATTTGCTCCTTAGTCTCTAAAACCTGAACAGGTACCTATTTTGTCCTTAAATATAGTGATTCCTTTTAGTACTTAATATGGTTAACTTTAATATTCCGGAGGAAGAGAGTAAATATCTTTAAGAAATAGTCAAATTCTCAAAAACATAGTAAAACAGTACATAAAAACCTTCAATAGATTTATCTTGGCCTGTGACTAATGATTCTGTATTGATGAAAAGTAATATTGTCATTCATCTGATTAAAAATTAGTTTGTAATTAGGCAAATGTACAAAATAAGTATGTGCCCATTTTTATATTCACTTGACTTGTTTCCATATTTAAAGAAATTTTAATTTTAAAATATAAAATCAGGTGAATGTTAACTGGCAACCTAATAATAGGTTAAACTTATTTTTTCCATTGAGATTATTGTTTCTTGATTTATATTGTATTTCAGATAACATAGTATAGCACAGGAATTTGCAGAAGCCATTTAAGTTATCTTTTGAGGTAAGCTTTAATTTAGCATTTATTCTTCTGGTGAAACTTACTGCATCATGGGATATATATATATATATATATAAAGCAATTAATTCTTGTGGTGTAATCTTAATAGTTTTGAATGTTGACTGAATGGCTATGAGATTGTGATTTGTCTTTGTTACATTCCAGTGTTTCTGCCTCTTGGCATGCTTAGAGCACGGCTTTACTTCATCTGCTCCTTACACACTAAAATGCCCTTAGTGTGATCAACTACAGAAATAGCCGCTGCTAAGTGATGTAGATTTTCTACTTGAATATTTTTATGTTGTAGGAACCTCAGGAGGTCAGTGTTTACTGTTTTATATATGCCTTCTTTTTCCTGTTTGAGCTTCTCTTTTTGAAGGATTCTAACAGAACAAAAGCTGCTGATCAACCTAAGTTGGAAACAGAAAGTATGTTTAATGTAATTTAAATGCATGTTTGGCAGTTTCACGTTACAGTCCATAATTAGCAAGTAAACTTAGTGCCACAGATACTCATTTATTCAGGAAGTAATTTGCTTTTTGTATTGTCTAATAAGACTTCATACTGTGTATAAAAATCACTTTTATATTTTTTGGTTGGTTATTTCCAAAATAATCAACATGTAAATATCTTTAAGAGCCAGTTCTGATGCTTTACATTATAGCTACTTGCTTTTGTTACGCAAGTTAGATTTCAGAATAGACTTTAAAACACTTAACCAAGCCATTACATCTTAAAAACAAAACAAGTAGCTTTTTTTTTTTTGTAATTAACATATTGATAAAACACTGTGATTTTTTGGTTAAGACTTTTTCATTGATCTGAATTGCTTAAATTGCATATATTGTAAAATAAGATCAGATGTATATTTTAAAATAGTTTCCACTGACTTTCCTCTTGAAATGCTTTGTCTACTCAGTTATAAAATATTGATACAAGTTTTATCTCAGGTGAATACCCTTATCATGTTTGCTTTTGTGACATACATTTATAAAGGGTCATCATACTTAGGCTTTTTTGTTTATGTGATGTATTTCATTATGAATCTTGCCCATTTTTCTAGTTTTAGCAGACTGAAGGGTTTAGCCTGCTCTTCACAAGCCTTTTGTGTGCGTATTATTTGAAAATGTATTCAATTTGGTTCTCCAGACACTGAAAATAGAAAATTTTCTCCCCCGTATAAAATTATTCTGCATAGGTGAAATGCCAGAAGTAAACTAGGTATGTTTTAAACTCTTTAGTCTGAACTTCAGACCTTTGCCATGAAGGAAAAAAAAATTTTTTTGCTTTGTTTCATTTTGTTTTTTTGCTTCATATAATTCATATTGAATGTATTAACAGATAACGGTGCAAAACATTCTTTCCAAGAGAAGAGTGTATCATAAATAACTGCATTTTCAGTCCTTCCTTTGTTAATACTTAAGAAACGCACAGCTTTGCTAACTGAATTATTTTTGCAAATATTACAAGGGAGGAAAACACTAATTATCGCTACTAATACTGTTAAGGAGGTGTAGGCATTGGAATTGATAAGAAAACGAGTCCTCAAATAGTTAAGGGCCTGGGATAATGTAGGTAAAATATTAGATCAATAGTGAGCTGTGTTAACAATATTATGTAGTATTAGTATCATGCAGTAGCATCGTATACCAGCTTAGTGCATTTTGTACTGTATTAAATACGGCAGTACTTCTAATGACTTTAAATTTTATGTGAACTTTTGGTTTCATTCACCTGTATATTTGCTGGGTAACTTGGGACTAATCTTTTTAGTCTTGCATAGATCTTTCTCCCATTGGCATTACATGTGTATAGATAATTTTTTAGGCCTAATTATTATGCATATTAATTTTTAAGGTATACATTTAAATTTGTAGCAGCTGTTATGGTTTATATCCCAGAATAGCTAAATGTGTGCATGATTTTAAGGGAAGTTAAAATTGTGGGGTTTTTTCCACTTGCATTTTACAGCCAAGCCAAATCTATTTGCCAAGCTGTGTATCACTAAATAGAAATGCCAGTAGTTTTCCTTTTTTAATAGTTTTTATTTACCATAGAATCCCCTAACACTGTGGCTTATTAAACAGAATTGGCTATTTTACAGGTCTGATTAGCTTTCTCAAAGCCTGCTATTAACACAGTTAGCCTACAAGGCAGTATTGGCTCCCTCCTGATGTCAGCCTCATAAAGGGTTCTACTGTACTTCTCATGCATCTTTTTTTTTTTTTTTTTTTTTTTTTGGTGGGTATACTAGGGTATACTACCAAATTGAGCTTGGTGGATTTTTAAAGGAGATAATAATTAGACAATACTGTATAATTAACTGCTCAATAGATTATCACCTTGTGAGAAGAGATATTTAAATGTGGTAAATGACTTCATATTATAAAGCAGTTTTACACTTAATATTCATGTTAACATTGGGTGCAATAATTTAGTAGTGTTAGCTTTAGTTATAAATAACTGGATCTTTCTGCTGACAACTTAGGTTGTATGAGTTATGCTTAAAAGCTTTAAATCTGATGTTTCCTGTACCTGCCACATTTATGTTAGAATGTGTCCTTCAAACATATCCTCCTGCAATTTCTCAAACTGTACTAAATTGGTATTTCTTGAAGTCTAACTCTGTGCTAACAGATCTTCATTTTAAATAGAATACGGTTTTAATTTTTGATAAGCTGCTGAATTTTAAAAAGAGTTTTTTGGGGCCACCAAATATTTTGGATCATGCAGAGAATATATATTGTACTGTAGTAATTTTTGTATTTACATTTGTATGATGTGACATAATAGATGTGAATGTTAATCACTGCTTGACTATGTTAATAAAGTTGTTTAACTATAGATGTTGCACTCTGATTTTTAATGAAAGGAACTGAGCTTGCTTTCTCCCACCACCCTCCTTTTGAGTCCTAATAGATCTTGTGGGTCCCAGCCCCAACCCCTGTTGTTTGTTTTCTTGTTAAAGACGTATCATTGGTTTTCTGAGTTTAGTGCACTCACTTTTTAGGTTGAGTGTTTTTCTTATTTATGTAGTACATACAATCCCTATCTATGTTCTCTACATTTTAACTTAATTCTATTATTGGTAAGTTTCTGGGTTCAACTGTTAAAGGGTAGGTGAGATGCTGCTGTATAAAAAGGAATTAAAGGTGAAGCTGTGACTATAAAACATGTAAAGGTAGATTGCATGCATGAGTGTGTATGAATGTCCTTTTATAGCTTTTTGGTCATCCTTCAAGAAGTTAAGGCTTATAATTCTGGAAATTAACATTTCTGCAAGTTATTTTTTTCTGTGGATTGTAACCCTTTATAGTTGCTGCATGTCACTAATTAAAGTGTATTAGTACATTTTGGGGAATATGTGTTCATAGCAGTCGAGTAGTCTTCTATTTGAGATTTAGAACATTTTGGGAGAAGGCAAATTTGAAATACAATTGATGACAGGAAAACAAATTAGAATTTCAATATTGTGTTCTAAAACTAGTTTTAGAATTTAGAACTTAAATTATGGAAGAAGTTAATTAAATTCAACCTAATCATTAGTTCAAGGTCCAATTTGTTGCTACTATTCTTAAAGAAATTGTGCCTGAAGCTTAAGCATTTTTTGTAAACCTGTAAGATTCTAGTGAAACTGAAGCCCTACCACTCGATGCAAATGATTTTTCTCAGTTCAAGTGCTATTAGTGATAAAGATGACTCCTCAGTTTTTTAGTTAACGGGCATTTTTAATCTTGTAATTTTGTAACCTGACTCCACAGTTTACATATCATGTAATCATTTAGGAGTGGTTGGAATTGCCCAACTCTGACTGGATTTTCTCTGTATTGTGCAGAAGAATATGGAAATGCTGGTGCTATGGTTGCCAATTTGTAATCCATAATCTCCAAAACATCCAGTGTTCAGCCGGGCATGGTGGCTCATGCCTGTAATCCCAGCACTTGGGAGGCTGAGGCAGGAGGATCATTGGGAGTTCAGGACCAGCCTGGGCTACAAAGTGAGCTCAAGGCCAGCCTGAACTACATGGCACGAGACCCTGTCTCAAAAAAGAAAAAAAAACAAAGAACATCCAGTGTTCATTTCAGCTGTTTGCAGATTACAATTTTGAAAATGAGCATGATTTCTAATCCAAATAACACAGTATTGCAATACTTAGAATCTTAGAATTTCTGCCAGTTGTTAATGCTATTCATTGCAAGGACTATTAGAGCTGTTTCACTATGACAATTTAAATTTTTATTTAACAACTACCCAGTGATATAATACTTCTGTGCATATGAGTGTACAGTCGTGATGTTGTATCCTTTTGTTTGCTGTGTCATTTTGAGTTAAGATTTAGTTGTGTAGTTCAGGCTACCCTGGAACTTGCTATGTAGGCCAGGCTGGTTTCAAATTCATGTGATCCTCCTGCCTTGGCCACCTAAATACTGGCATTACAGGTATGCCCCATCATCCCTGGCTATTGTATCCAAATTCTTAATACACACTGACATTACCACTACATGGTATCATATAAACAATTTACACAGCTGTCTTTAGGGCATTCAGAAGTTGTTCCTCAGTCTTTGCTTTTTTTTTTTTTTATCGGTACCAGGGATCGAACTCATGACCGCCTGCTTGCAAGGCAGGTGGTTATGCCGCTGAGCTAAATCCTCAGCCCCAAGTAACTTTATTTTTTATTTATTTTTTTTGTACCTGGGATTGGACTCATGATCTCACGCTTGCTAAGCAGGCACTTACGCCGCTGAGCTAAATCCTTGGCCTTTCAGTCTTGATAGCATTGCCATGCTTTTATAGTGTGTTACATAGTGGCACATGCTCATTTGCAAAAGAGCAGGATGTGAATGGAGATGATCCTCATGGACTAAGGAAAGATGAGAACATAAGGGTATCATTTGAGCAAAAACTCAGCCACACAATTCATTTCAAACAATGAAGCTCAAAAATAATACCTGAAACATTTAAACATTGAGGTCAAGTCACTACCAAGATGTGTGGTATGAAGTTACAGATGATTTAATGCATTTAGCAAATGTGGCTATTTAATGTTTTGTGCAGATTTTTGAATAGCTATGGAAGAATCAATGTCCCCTTGCTGTAAGAGTGTAGAGACTTTAGGCTTTCATCTTAAGACCAAGCTAAGAGAAATGGTTACCATCTTAGGGTACTTTAAATACCATCTCAAAAGAAGCAACACACTTGTAACTAGATACTTTTAAGAGTTCATAAAAGAAGCTAGAAAAAAAATGAGGTGGTTTTCTGTTTTGAAGTCCTGGAAATTAAACCCAGGGCTTCAAGCATGCTAGACAAATGGTGTTATCACTGAGCCACATTCTCTGTCCCTTTCATCTTGTTGTTTTAAGATGGACTCTTGCTATGTTGTCCATGCTGGCCTTATGTTACGTCTGGAAACACCTACATGCACCTAAAACTCATACATAGTACTTTAAATCATTGAAACGTGACCAATTATTTGAACAGTATTGTGAAAACCCAAGTAGATATTTGCAAATAATGTGGGTTTATACCTTATGTGTGCCAGGGTTCTACATGCCTTAATTAAAATTTCAATGCTGAAAATTGTTAATCTAATTTCAAAAAGAATCTTCATAGCACTTCTATGTGACATCCCAAATGTGTGGAAAGCAAAAGTTGATTTCATTAAAATTCTGTGTAACAAAAGTTAAAAATTTGGAGGAACTTAGTAGCTCCCTTCAGAGAAAATGGTCAGTTTCCATGAGAAAAACCAGTAGACAAAGGACATTAAGTTCACAGAAGACCAAATTTAGCTCTTAAAGATAATTCAGTGAATTGGAATCCAACTCCAGGTACATCATTTGCACACTGACAGCATGATGACATCTGAGGGCTGCAGAAATAGGCACTCATCTGTTGCTAGGAACACAGTGTAGCATGAAGGGCAGCTCAGAAATTACCAAAGCTGTGTATGTGCACACCTAGTTAATTGTGTTTAGTAGGGATATATTTTGGGAAAAGCATTTGAACATTGCCTTGTGTTTGCACACTTACATGACAGGGCCTGTTCCTAAATTGCAAGCATGCCCTGTACAGGACCAGCGAATATACAATTGGAACATAGTGGTAACTAGAAAAGCTGCAGTAAAAACTACAGATATTTTCAGCTCCTTATCCCTTAGAGGACAACTTTTTTTTTTTTTTTTTTTTTTTGTCTTTTTCATTTTTATCAGTACCAAGGATCGAACTCACGACCACCTGCTTGCAAGGCAGGTGCTTATGCCGCTGAGCTAAATCCCCAGCCCCAGAGGACAACTGTTGAATATGTGGTTCGTTGTTGTCTGAAGAGTCATGCAGTACATAACTATGAATTATCCCCTCAATAACCTACATGATACCCAGTGAACAGAAGGGAGCCATATATCTTCCCATTCACTAACTGGTGAAATTCAGTATCTTCACAGTTGGCAAAAGATGAAAATTCAGATGGTATGAATTATTAATGCATACAGGCAAACAGGGTCTTAATAACACCTACTTTGCAAATTACTTTGCCATTACCCATTAAAACAGTACTGCAAACACTAAGACAAGTCTGCATCTACACTTACAATCACACCATTTGCATGTGCAGAAACAATTTTACCAGCATTGTAGGAAAATTTTTAAAGTTTTAAAAAGCAATGTGTAGTACATAAATATATCCTCATGGATGCTTCACAGTGTCATAAAACCACAGAACATCTGATTATTGTAATTATTTTTTAGCAAGTTCACCCTTTATAATAGAACCAATCTGAAGAGACCCACATAGGGCAGCACTTGTGTATGGCTCCGGAGTGATGACCATTCAGTCTACCAAACCCAGGAGCTAAAGAGCATAAAGTGTTTGCTTCTAAACTCAGCATTTTGTTCAAGGCCAGGTAATGTACTTCTGTATTCAGCCTTCCTTCCGATGAACTCTCAAGTACTTTCTTGCTTTGAAGACGTTTTCCCAAATGGAAAAACCTAATTTGTTGTGTTCTCAGCAGTACAATGTATCACAACTCAAACTGAAAAATGTGTAGTAAATGCTTAAGAACTTTTTACACTTAAAAAGGCAGGAAGGGATGTAATTGAACCTTTTCACCCACGTATGCTAGGGTTTTATAAGTTTTTTTTCTTTAAGCCTCGCTTTGTCAATTGAGTCATACACAGACACTTGCTTTGCTGGCTATCTCAGGCTGGCCTCAAACTCACTGTGAGGCTACTGTGGCCAATAACTCACAGCAGTCCTCCTGTCTTAGCTTCCTGAATCCTGGTACTACAGGATTAAGATTCTTTTTGGTCTTTTTCCTTTTTATCGGTACCGGGGATGCCGCTGACATAAATCCCCAGCCCCAGGATTAAGATTCTTTTAGGACTCTAGTTTGAGTCAAAATATTTCCACTAGAGGGCGCCATTTACCTGCATTAACCCTAGAATGATGCCACAGAAGGACAGTTTATAGAAATGTAATGCTGTAGGTACAAAGTGAGATATTTCCACTCTTCTTTTTTTTTTTTTTTTTTTTTTGTCTTTTTCCTTTTTTTATCGGTACCAGGGATCGAACTCACAACTGCCTGCTTGCAAGGCAGGCACTTATGCCACTGAGCTAAATCCCCAGCCCCTAGATTTCCACTCTTATTGCTTGGTATGGTATTTTAAATGAACATAATCTTGAATTTTAGTGCATTTTAAAAATTTCAATGTCATTTTTCCTTTGATAGAAAAGGTATTTATATAAGTCCAAACACAGGATTTATGTTCTAAGCAGGACACCTTAAACTTGAATGTGCACATAAGCCTCATAAAAAGAGCATATTGTGATTCACTAAATCTGAATGGGA